GGGTGTCTAAAATCGAAATCGAACGAAAATTTGGTGTATCGTTGCAGCCCTAATATTTTGCAAGTAGCCCTTTTTCCGGGTCACCCTTTCCCCCGCCCCCAAAAGGTTCCCCAAAAACCTTTGTTTTTAAATTTTTTTTTAGGGGGATTTATTAATTTAATTTTACCCAAAAATTATGTTTGGAAAGCCATTTTGATTTTGGTTTGCCGAAAAAATAAAAACTTTTTCGCCCCATTTTGATTGGTTTGCCCGATATTTTAAACGGGCCCCAATCGTATGTAACTTTGGAAAAAGGGGCAAAGGGGAAAGCCCCAAAAAATTTCTCAACTTTTTTCCAGGCCTTTTTTTTGGGTGGGGAAATCGAATCAAAATGTTTACAGTTGATATCCGGGAATTTCGAATCGGCGCCTCATTAAACCGGTTTTTCGATGCATTCGAAAGGTAATCGTTGCACCTCTACATCTAATCAGTGTTCCAAATAGTTCAATCAGTGAATAAATTGTATCCACTGTTTCAAACTGCCTATAAATGCCTTCTCTGAAAACAAGAGCTTTAAAAAACTTACATTAAAAAACATAATTAAAATGAAAAAACCATTTTCAAATATAAAGTATGTTTAAACTAAAGATAAAAATAGGAATTTAGGTTGAAAAATATGGGCATTTTTATGGGAACTTACCTTTAGTTTTGAATTTTTTTCTTTTAGGAATTTTAAGACAAAACTGAAAAAAAAAAGGGATTTTTTTTAAGGAATTTTTAGGGGACGCTTTGGACAGCCTGGTTTTAAGTTATGAAGCTTTACAGGAAAAATAAAGAGTTAGGAAAAATAACTTAAAATTTGTAATAGCATACTATTTTTCTACTAAAAAGTCCCTCTTTTAAAACATTCCCCTGATTAATTTACTTTAAAGTTTAACATTATAGAATATGATTTTTACTGATGACAATCAACATATTTTCGTCAGTGTATAAATCATGTTGAGTGGTCCCAAAATGTGAAGAATTGGAGGCACTTGTTATACTTTATCGATTAGGTAATCTTAGATGCAAAGAAGGCATGTTGCCACTAAATGGTAAAAATGTATAGTATCTAATACTTCAGATATAATGGTTTAAAGAATACAAAAAAAAAAGAAAAAGAAAGAAAGAAGAAGGATTACATTCACTTAGTTACATTGTTTCAACCCATCCCTTATTTGTATTACATACAATTTCTTTATATAATCAGTTAAAAGTAAAATTTTAAAAGTGTGGTTTTATTATTATTATTATTATACAATGTACATTTCATATGTACAATCTTAATTATGTTTCTAATATTCAAATAATATTATCTTATATTTTCTATGCTCGATTTTATGTAATTTTTTTGTCTTTTGTCGATTGATGCATATGTTTGTTTAATTACGGTAAGTTAGAGGACACTGAATATATGGTCCACTGAATATCTGTAAACTGAATATGTGGGTGTGGTTTTTTGATTATTCATGAAAGTATATATTTTTTTGTCGTGTAAGATGAGATTAAATAAGTTTTTCCCAGAGATGTTTTTGATTGTCTCTTCATATAATTAAACAAGGCGAAAAAATATGTGTGTAAAGTATTGCAAATTTAATAGCTGGAAGCTGCAGACGTGACTTCCATAATCGCTTAAAATCTCTTTTTTTTGATAGGTATTCTTTTTTTCTGGTTTCTCTTGGTGTATATTACACAGAGCTTGTGTCACAACTGTTTAAAGTTATTGATTTGTTTGTGTGTGTTTTACGTTTTATTTATACTGGGGCGCCGGGTGTCTGGGCCTCTGTTACGTCGCTGGTCGTAGAGCCTGCAACGGACGACTTAGGACGCTGCAAACGTCGCTGATCGTAGAGCTTGCAACGGAGGTCTTCTCATGCGTCTTCGTCGTAGATCTTTCTCTAGGACCAGCTCTTCGCTTTCTAGAACGCAGTAGACATAGGAGGAAAGGCAACCTCTTCCGCGAGCAGCAGCTCTTTGTAGGGCACAACCTTCGCCGTTGGTTAGGTACACCGACTAAGTGACATAACTAGGCCACCCCATCTGTCGTGACCTGATGCCCTCCGAGCGACGTGCATTTGTTTTTAGTTTTGATTGGGTTTTTTATGGTGGCTGATTTGGAACGCTTTTTTGTGCGCGTCGTGTTGGCGCCTAAAGACAACAGGACAAAGCGCCAAACGGCGCGTTGTCGACATTGTCTTGTCGTCAATAGTAGGAATTTTCGTAACAGTTTTCTTGGCAACTACTTGTCATTTGGTATACAGTATCATACCGTGGGATTCGATTTCAGGTCTGTCGCTCATCCACTTCTGTTTGCCGAGCCGACTTAGTTAAATTTTGACGTTAATGGTTTGAACATTTTTCGTAACAGTTTACGCAGCAACTTCTTTATCACAGCCTTTTGATATTTGGTATACAGGCATTAATCACGTGGTCCCAAACCGTGGATTTGATTTCAGGTCTGTAGCTCATCCACTTCCTGTTTGCCCGATTTAGTTAAATTTTGACATAATTAATGATCAATAGATACAGTAGTGGGAAATTTTCGTTAACAGTTTTTCTCAGCAACTACTTACCACAGCCTCTTGATATGTGGTTCACAGCATTGACACGTGGTCCCATATTGTGGAATTCCATTTCAGGTCGGATGCTCATTCTTTTCCGATTTACCAACTAAGTTAAATTTTCAACATCAATGGTCAGACAGTGGTAGAAAATTTAAGTAACATCACAGCCTCATGATATTTTGTATACATAATTATGCAACCCGGCCTTTTCTGTCTTTGACCCATTTTTGAGCTATGCATGTGTGACACAATTTGAAAATTGCAAATATTTACTAAGTCAAGGGCAATAACTCTACAAATACTAAATAAAGTCACACGAAAATACCCAGGTGCACAACTACACATGCTGATCAACATTCCAGTACAGTTTCATAACCCTAAGCTCATCATAACGTTTTGAGTTATATGCGACACAAAATGAAAATGGGTGGACGGAAGGACGGTCGTACTTTGAGACTTTTCCTTTGACCTTTTTCCCAATTTTAGTCACACAAGGCTTAAATAAAAGACACAGAAGTAAAAACGGAATGACTAGGAGCAAAAAGAATTTACTATTACCCATTGTTCTCCAAGTCACACAAGTACCTCTGGGTTTGTACGTATTGACAAGGGTAAATCTACCCCCCACCCCCCCAAAAATGGCGGCACAAAAAAAAATCATCGCAATGATGAAGGTATTCCTCAGTTTAAACTGCGTAGATAAACTTGTTCTGGTAACTTTGAACTCTGACAAAACACTCTATTTTAAGTACCATGAGAAAGAGAATTTCAAGGAAAAGTAGTTGACAGATCTAATTTCATCTATATATATTGTCCTTGCAACAAGGAACACTTTCAGGGCTTACTTAAAGGAACTCCACTGAGGTTTATAAGCCTAAAACATATTATTTTAATTTTCACATAGATAAACATGAGCACTTTAAACAGAAATATAAAGAAAATATAACTAGGAAATACACAAAAAATACATTGAAAATCATATTTTTGTGCTATTGTCAGTCCAATTTGAGTGAAAAGCGTTTAAACGCTTTTCAATTTTGGGTTAGTTTTCACTATTTTAACAATTATTCTGGAAAAACGGAGCGAGCTAATGATCTGAAATTTTGCACATAAGTTATTAGTATAAACGTACATCAAATGGAGTAATAATCTCAAAATATTATTTCCAGTCCCGTCATGGCAAAAAACCTCAGTGGAGTCCCTTTAACATATTTAATTAATTATCACATTAAACCTTTTGATTGTTATTTTATTTCCGTGCCAAGATGTTTTCCAAGTATTTAACTTTATTGAAACATGTTGCGGTTGTTTTTATGAAAATTAATTTCCTACCCAAATCATTAAAAACAGGAAGTATTTTGCAAAGTTGATTGTTTGATATACATGTATGTGTTACAGTTAAGTTTTCATGAAACAATTGAATTTTCAATGCAGTTCGTGGAACATCAAATGTGACAAATGGTTTAGTTCAATTACTAAAATGTTCATCCATTTCCATTTTGACCCCTTAATTGTTAATAGATCTACTTAACTGATTACCTTTTGTTAAAATATTAGGCTGTGTAACCTTTGTATAAGTAATTTCTTGATCAAGTTTTAAATCAATATGAAAAGATAACAAACACTTATTGTGAAATATTCTCATAGTTTATGGCTTTAAAGTCATAAGGTTGCTTTAGTTAAAAAATTGTATGATTTTTGCAGATTGTACATATTAGTTCTCTCCAATTTTATCAACCATAACCTGATTATCTCTGTTGAATCTCAAATTTATGTTGAACATAAATGCTGTCATTGTTTACATACTACCATTCTGGTACTGAACTAAATTCTGATACTGTATTAAATTCTGGTACTGAACTAAATTCTGATACTGCACTAAATTCTGATACTGTACTAAATTCTGGTACTGAACTTAATTCTGGTACTGAACTAAATTCTGGTACTGTACTAAATACTGATACTGTACTAAATACTGGTACTGTACTAAATTCTGGTACTGTACTAAATTCTGGTACTGAACTAAATTCTGGTACTGTACTAAATTCTGGTACTGTACTAAATTCTGATACTGTACTAAATTCTGGTACTGTACTAAATTCTGATACTGTACTAAATTCTGATACTGTACTAAATACTGGTACAGAACTTAATTCTGATAATGTACTAAATAATGGTACTGACCTAAATTCTGGTTCTGTACTAAATACTGGTACTGAACTAAATTCTGATAATGTACTAAATTCTGGTACTGTACTTAATTCTGATAATGTACTAAATAATGGTACTGACCTAAATTCTGGTTCTGTACTAAATACTGGTACTGAACTAAATTCTGATAATGTACTAAATTCTGGTACTGAACTTAATTCTGATAATGTACTAAATTCTGATACTGTACTAAATTCTGGTACTGACCTAATTCTGATACTGTACTAAATTCTGGTACTGTACTTAATTTTGATAATGTACTAATTTCTGGTACTGTACTTAATTCTGATAATGTACTAAATTCTGGTACTGTACTTAATTCTGATAATGTACTAAATTCTGGTACTGTACTTAATTCTGATAATGTACTAAATAAAGGTACTGACCTAAATTCTGGTTCTGTACTAAATACTGGTACTGAACTAAATTCTGGTACTGTACTTAATTCTGATAATGTACTAAATTCTGGTACTGTACTTAATTCTGATAATTTACTAAATTCTGGTACTGTACTTAATTCTGATAATGTACTAAATTCTGGTACTGTACTTAATTCTGATAATGTACTTAATAATGGTACTGACCTAAATTCTGGTTCTGTACTAAATACTGGTACTGTACTAAATTCTGGTACTGTACTTAATACTGGTACTGTACTTAATTCTGATAATGTACTAAATAATGGTACTGACCTAAATTCTGGTTCTGTACTAAATACTGGTACTGAACTAAATTCTGGTACTGTACTAAATTCTGGTACTGAACTAAACTCTGATACTGTACTAAATACTGATACTGTACTAAATTCTGGTACTGACCTAATTCTGATACTGTACTAAATACTGGTACAGAACTTAATTATAATACTGTACTAAATTCTGATACTGTACTAAATTCTGGTACTGACCTAATTCTGATACTGTACTAAATTCTGGTACTGTACTTAATTCTGATAATGTACTAAATTCTGGTACTGTACTTAATTCTGATAATGTACTAAATTCTGGTACTGTACTTAATTCTGATAATGTACTAAATTCTGGTACTGTACTTAATTCTGATAATGTACTAAATAAAGGTACTGACCTAAATTCTGGTTCTGTACTAAATACTGGTACTGAACTAAATTCTGGTACTGTACTTAATTCTGATAATGTACTAAATTCTGGTACTGTACTTAATTTTCTGATAATTTACTAAATTCTGGTACTGTACTTAATTCTGATAATGTACTAAATTCTGGTACTGTACTTAATTCTGATAATGTACTTAATAATGGTACTGACCTAAATTCTGGTTCTGTACTAAATACTGGTACTGTACTAAATTCTGGTACTGTACTAAATACTGGTACTGAACTTAATTCTGATAATGTACTAAATAATGGCACTGACCTAAATTCTGGTTCTGTACTAAATACTGGTACTGAACTAAATTCTGGTATTGTACTAAATTCTGGTACTGAACTAAATTCTGATACTGTACTAAATTCTGATACTGTACTAAATTCTGGTACTGACCTAATTCTGATACTGTACTAAATTCTGGTATTGACCTAATTCTGATACTGTACTAAATACTGGTACAGAACTTAATTATAATACTGTGCTAAATCCTGGTACTGTACTAAATACTGGCACAGAACTAAATTCTGGTACTGTACTGAATTCTGGTACTGAACTAAATTCTGGTACTGTACTAAATTCTGGTACTGAACTTAATTCAGATACTGTACTAAATTCTGATACAGAACTTAATTATAATACTGTTCTAAATTCTTGTGCTGTATTAAATTCTGATACTGAACTAAATTCTGATACTGTACTAAATTCTGGTACTGTACTAAATTCTGGTACTTAACTAAATTCTGGTACTGTACTAAATTCTGGTACTAAACTTAAACCTGGACTAAATTCTGGTACTGGACTAAATTCTGGTACTGAACTAAATTCTGGTACTGAACTAAATTCTGGTACTGTACTAAATTCTGGTACTGAACTAAATTCTGGTACTGTACTTAATTCTGGTACTATACAAAATTCTGGTACACAAGTAAATTCTGGTACTGTAATAAATTCGGTACTGTACTAAATTCTGGTACTATACTAAATTCTGGTACTGAACTAAATTCTGGTACTGAACTAAGTTCTGGTACTGTACTAAATTCTGATACTGTACTCAGTACTGGTACTGAACTGTATTCTGATACTGTAATAAATTCTGGTACTGTACTTAATTATGGTACTGAACAAAATTCTGGTACTGAACTAAATTCTGGTACTTAACTAAATTCTTGTACTGTTCTAAATTCTGGTACTGTATTAAATTCTGGTACTGTACTAAATTATGATACTGTACTAGACACTAGTACTGAACTAAATCATGAAACTGTACTGTAACTCAAAGACATTTTTTTGAATGAAGATTTTCATTTATTGAAATGATTTTAGTGTTACTTAACTATTATGTTATTTGTTTAGATGGCAACAATATATCTTTGTTTACTAGTATTTATTTGAAAAGAAATTGTTTAACTCATTATAATTTTATTCTTACAAGAGGTATTATGTCTTCTTGACTGCAACATTATCTATGGTTTGTATAAGATCAGCAAATCAATGAAACAAGAGGGCCATGATGGCCCTGAAGTCGCTCACCTGTATATAGGTCCCCGGAGCAGGGCCAGTTTAAAGCCCGGGGCTTTTATTTGAACAAACTTTGTAGACAACCATTAGGAGATGTTTCATGCTAAACATCTAAGGTCTAGCTCGTTGGGATTTTTAAAAGATTTTTTTTTTCTTTACACATATAGTTAAAAACAATGACACACCTGGGGCAGGGCCAGTTTTGACCCCAGGGCTTTTATTTGAACAATCTTTGTAGACACTTACTAGAAAATGTTTCATGCTTAATATCTAAACTCTAGCTATGTTGGTTTTTTAAAAGAAGATTTTTAAGTTTTTGCTATACTTGTATAAGGAAAATCAATGTCCCCCGGGACGGGGCCAATTTTGACTCCAGGGCTTTTATTTGAACAAACTTTGAAGACACTCACTAGAAGATGCTTCGTGCTTAATATCTAAACTCTTGCTATTTGAGTTTTTTCAAAGAAGATTTTTCAATTTTTGCTATAGTTTTACACATATAGGGAAAATGAATGACCTCCGGAGTGGGGCCTATTTTGACCCAAGGGCTTTTATTTGAACAAACTTTGTAGACAATCACTAGAAGATGTTTCATGCTTAATATCTAAACTCTAGCCATTTGGTTTTTTTCCAAAGAAGATTTTTTAAGTTTTTCCTATACACATATAAGGAAATTTGGAAAATCAATGACCCCAAGGGCCGGGCAAATTTTGACCCCAGGGCTTTTATTTGAACAAACTTGGTAGACACCCATTAGAAGACGTTCATGCTAAATATCTTAGCTCTAACTCTTTTGGTTCTTTAAAAGAAGATTTTTTAAAGTTTTTACTATATGTATATAGGGAAAATCAACGACCCCCTGGGGCGGGGCCATTTTTGACCCCAGGGCTTTTATATGAACAAACTGGGTAGACATCCATTAGAAGATGTTTCATGCTAACTATCTTAGCTCTAGCTATGTTGGTTTTTTAAAAGAAGATTTTTAAGTTTTTGCTATACTTGTATAAGGAAAATCAATGTCCCCCGGGACGGGGCCAATTTTGACTCCAGGGCTTTTATTTGAACAAACTTTGAAGACACTCACTAGAAGATGTTTCATGCTAAATATCTTAGCTCTAGCTCTTTTGGTTCTTTAAAAGAAGATTTTTTAAGTTTTTACTATATGCATATAGGGAAAATCAATGACCCCCTGGGGCCCCGCCAATTTTGACCCCAGGGCTTTTATTTGAACAAACTTGGTAGACACTCACCAGAAGATGTTTCATGCCAAAAATCGTAGCTCTAGCTCTTTGGGTTTTTTAGAAGAAGATATTTAAAGTTTTTTTGTTTTGGTTGCCATGGCAACCAGAGTTCTGCATGGAATTAAATTCTTTGAACAATTTTCAAAGGTGACCAACAAAGGAACATTCCTGTGAAGTTTGGATGAAATTGGCTTAGTGGTTTATGAGGAGATGTCATTTAAAGTAAAAGTTTACGGACGCTGGACGGCCGGACGCCGGACGAAAAGCGATCACAAAAGCTCACCCTGTCACTTTGTGACAGGTGAGCTAAAAATTAACAAAATTCACAATAAGCCACAAGAACTAAGATTAAACCCTTTGCAAAATCCATAGTCTAGACTATCCTGGTATTAAGGTCAGTCTGACCTAGAACCTCAGCTGGACAAAAGAGATGAGTTTCACGTATTTTAACCACAAACTAATAAACTATATTTAAATTGGGAACATACAATTTGACAATCAATCTTATCTGCAGAAAATTCACTGTATTCTGTGTTTTAAAGTATATGGAACAATAAACAATGGAAATGGTAAAAATTTTAATTTTGAGTTCTCATGCATTCTATAACATTTTAATTTTAAACAAAGACACAATTAGAATAAAGAAATATTTAAAGAGGAGAAAACGCATCTTACCTTTGGCTTATATGGGAAAAACAGTTGATACTTTTTTCATTTTCATTTGGCCATACTATACATTTTTTAAAAATAGTACACCACTGTTAGTCTTTTTATATAAATTTCAATGTCACGGTAATTTGGTCAGCTTCAGATATAATATCAATAATAGGTTATAAAGTACCAATATATTAATGTTGACATCTTTAACTGTCTTTTTTACACACTTCAATGTATTTAATTCTTTATTTCTTACAGAGCACAATTTTCCTTAAACATCTGCTAACAATTTTCCCCTCACTTGAAAATTTAAAAGAAAAATAAAATCTGTACAGAACACAATAAGTATTGAATAACTGACTAAACACAATGGCACTTTCAAGAATTACACCAGTTTATCACAATAACAAAATACATTTCAAAAAATACAAAATGTATTATAAATTGGTTTATCTCAAAAGAATTATCAATAATAGTACAATGAAATGTGGGTGAAAGGGGTGAGGTATGGCAACATTTCAGAATATATATTAACTGAACAGTGCAAACCTAAATAAGAAGGTAGACACATGTCTGTGATCTGTACAAGTTGTATAGCTAGAATATCAGTTACTGCCAGCAGGTTTATGTTGTTAACAATATGATGCATTATATGCATGTTACCTATGAGTATATGAATGACAAAATTAATGAAAAAATACAACAACAACAACAACAACAACAACAACAACACATTCTTCAAGCATGCTGTGCATAGTTTGTATTCCCAATTCAAGTAAAACTTCTTAAAATAAACTTATGATCATCATCATTAATTACATACAACAACAAAATCATTGGTGGTTATTAATGTAAAACATGGCAGATGAGTGGAAAATGAATCATTCTCCAGCAATACATTATAATAAAACAATAATTAAAATTGTAGACTTATTCTAAAATGACAAAAACAATGAAAAGTATTTTATCAGAAAAAAAAACAGTACAGTATTACAGAAGATGTCACCACTTATCATAGCTGTGTTCCATTTATGATCAAAATAAGGGTAATTTCAGTCCATCCTGTCTCTTTGTGTGTGGGGTGGGGGGTTAATAATTTGGGATGTCAAATGCTAATTCACATCTTATCCCTTCATTAATGTAAATAACATGATACGTTGTTGGATCAGTGATGTCTCCCTCAATGACCTCTTCAAGGTGACATTAACTTATCAGGGTCTATACTGTTGTTTAACATCCATACTCTAGGACACACATGAAGCAGGTTCATTCCAATACACAAATTCAGTATATTTTGGGCAAAACAAGAGCTGCAGTAGGGCAGTGTACTTGAACTATTCACAGTGCTTGATGATAAAACAAGAGCATGGATAACAAAGAGATTAACAAAAGGAATACTTTATTATAAAACACTGCATGAAATAGTTATCAGTTTCATATAGATATCAATGAGTTTTGTAAGGTCACCAAAAAGGACAATATTTAAATCAAAACCTATACCAGAGTTCAGGGTCTTAAAAATATAACTCAATTATAATTCAGAAGACCTATGAATTAAGTTTCAAGTGAACATCATTAGTAATTTTAAAGATTTATGTAGCACCAAAATCTTGAACAAGGAACTTTTTAACTTCACAAAGGACCATAAATCAGTCAAAATCTATATATCAGAGTTATGGATCTTGATTAGTGAAGTTACAAATGTAAAAACTGTATAAAACGATTTATAAGCAGTGAATGGTAAAGTCTTGTATAGGAACACAGATTGTGAGGGCTGACCTGTACCTCTACTTGTCATATAAACAAGTGATTTTGTTTGCTAGCACTTTAAAGTTTACTTTATCGCCCTAAAGATATACTATGCTGAAAATGGATAATATATTTTAATCACAGAAATTTATTGAAATTCTAAGAAATTTTTACAGAGTTATGTCTAATTTAAATAAAAGAATGAAAAAAAAACTATGCAGCATTCCCTATAACAGTTTTTTTTTAACACCACTATAATTATATTCAAAGTGTGTAGAATTTTTAACATAACATTTCTTTTTGTGAATTCAAAACATGTTAGCTTTATATTTATAAAGACACTATGTAGCAATTATCAATATTTTCTAATATCAAATTTGAGCATAGTATATCTTTAAGAAACAATGTAGTATATGATATATCATCATAATAAAACTAAGATATCATTCAACATGTTTATGGCACATATATCATTACAAAAATAACCAATCAACTTCAACAACAAAGATTAAATGATAAGAACATTTAATGGTTTTTTTTCATCACCATAATATAATAATTCCAGAAAGTAAAATAGCACTCTATCTTTTAATAAACTGGCTCATATCAAACAATAAACAATACATGTAAAAATATAGCATTCACAGTTAATTCACAATGACAACATTGCCACTGTTATATGTTATGTCAATGAACCAAATGGTTCTGATTCTGATAAATTACTTCATCACTAAATGAATGCAAACAAATTTTATTTCTTTTTATTCAGGAAGCACATAATTGTTTTTTTTAGCATACTGGTTGGGGACCACCAAAACCGGACAACCACCAAACCCGGACGGCCCCGAAAATGCTTAATTTAGTATTTTCTTTGTTCAGTGGTTGTCAGTCACTTTTTTATCAACAATAAGTGCATGTTTCTTTTAAAATTAAGTAAATAAATTTATTTCAACCTCCGTAAATGGTAATATTTTAATGTCTATTTCAAGAATGTTGACCTTGAAATTTGGGGGTCAAGAAAGCAATGCCTGACCTCATATACCAGCTATAATCATTTGCAGAGTGAATAATAGAATAACCAAAACTTCAGCATTTGTTGCTGAAATATTGAATATCATGTTAAAAATCAAAAACCAAAACACCCAAGCTTTTATCTGAATTAAATCACGTCATGTACATATCTGTCCGGACACATGGTACTGTAGACGATTTAGGTAATTTTGATACCCTCCTTGTCGAGCCTCAGATATAAGTGTCACTACAATCAGAAAAAACTAGTTTGGAGAAGAACCTAGCTGAACTGTGTCAAATTTTTTAGTCTCTAGGTTAAAAATTATGAAATCTGCACAGAAAAAAGTTCAAAAAGTGTCCGGTTGATGGTCTCTGACCAGTACTCAAATAATGGGAAAATGGTTAAAGAGTATTTTAGAATAATGCACAGTTTCAGATAAAATGAGTAGTTGCGTAATTACGTAACACTTAACGTTACAATCTTTAATCCTAACTGAAACTTTTTTCCAAAACCTAGCTATTTATTTTATTTTTAGTAAAATCTCAGATAAGGAATGAATCTCAAAAACAAAATCTATTTACAAGTTAAAATAGGTGAAATTTGCTAAACATGAAAAACACAGCTTTTTTTCATCAACTGAGTGAGTGATTATGTTTAATTTGTACACTGTCTGAGGTCATATCATCTTTTCAAATCAAATACATGATATGCTCCTTGATTATTGTCACATTGTTAGCCTGGCATAGAAATAAATGTACCTTTTACATGATTTTAGCCAAATAAACAACATTATAATTACAAAATACATTTAAAATAATTTCTTTATTCTATGAGTATACTTAACTGTGAGATTTCAAAATGAGTAAATAAACAAGGTAGGTGGGGAGGGGGGTCGGGTCGCACTGACCCTGAGGACAAGGGTTGGACAAGGTTATAAGTGTACTGTGATCTTGGCCTTTGACCAACTGTACTCAAAATTAATTGGGTCCATCTATCAGTCATGACTAGCATCTACACTAAATTGTTATGACCCATGATGTTTAAGAGAGTGAGATAATTGTTGGATGTACATAAAGAGGAAAATCCATGACTCTCTAAGACAGGGGACAATTTCCACAGAACATAATATGAACAAAATCTTGGTAGATATCAATTAGATGATGTTTCATGCCAATGATGTAAGCTCTAGCTCGTTGGGTTTCAGAGATTGAGAAGAGGATTTTTCAAGTTATACTATATACAAATAGTACAAATCTATGACCGCTGGGACAAGGCCAATGACGATCCAAGGGTCATAATTTGAACAATATTAAATAATGTTCAATGTGAAGTCATAATGTAAACTTCAGAGAAGATATTTTTAAAGTTTTTACTATATACATATAAGGAAAGCCCATGACCCCTGGGACCGAGTCAATTTTGTCCTTAGAGATTTAATTCGAACACCTCCAGGACCTCCAGATAATGTTATATACCACATACCAAAACTCTTGGCCATGTACCTTAAGATAATGAGGTTTTGTAATTTACATTTTAGGGGACCACTATTCCTGACTAGTTTCATTTAAGGAACTCCACTGAGGTAAAAAAAACAACAAAAACATAGAATTGGAAATTCTTACATTAGATCAAATGAAACAGTTTAATGGAAAAATCTGCAAAGGAAAAATAAAGAAATTAAATTGAATATTGATTTTTGTGTGACTCTAAGGTCAATTTGTGTGAAAAGCTTTCACTTATATGTCATTTTGCACAACAAAAATGATTATTCTGTACCACTGATCTGAAAATTAGCACACGAGTTATTGATCCAGACCTACATCAAAAGGTATACAATAAACTCAGAGAAAACATTTCCAATCCTATCATGACAAAAAAACCTCAGTGGAGTTCCTTTGATAGCCAGTCCTTTGGTTTCTGAAGAAATGTTGCTGTAAAAAATTGTTGACGCAATTTTTATTACTTAATTTCGAGGTTATACTTTACTAAACTAGGTGTATATATAAATGAGCTTGAGATTTTATAGACACTGCTACATGTGTATATCAATTATCCAACCCTGGACCAAGCATTTAGTCTATAAATGTATCTATATTTATATAAATATTAAATAATCAAAATGTTATATTCCATAAATCAAATGAAACCAGCATACCTCCATATTCATGCTTATTTTCATTAAGATAAAAAAAATGTTTGTGTAGTACAAATGAAGTAATTACATATATTGACGGGAAGATCTGACAGTAAAAATCTACATTATTTTCTTTAAATTTTTGCCATTTTAAAAATATGTCAAAATATGGTAAAAAACAAGAATTTGTTTGTTAAACACAAATGCCCCCAGCTCAGATTCCTGTCAATAACAATATTTCATAAACTATTTACCCATTCACTCAGTCATGGACAGAAAATTTGACAAAAAAAATTATAAACACAGTTATATAACTTGACAGAGTCATGGCATTGTTTAATAGTGAAAAATATAAGTAAACAATTTTTGAAATATTGTGTAGAAATCCTTTACTGGCCTTCTTGGCCTTGACCAACTGACTGTTGTACATTTAGCTACCTTATGCTTTGCAATCAAACTACAATATATATTGCAACAACATACAAATAATATTTTTACAACTGTTTTAATTGTTTACAACTGGATCCTACAGATGAACCACTAACGTACATCAAGCTTATCAACGTTCTATAACCAAATAGTGCCGGGCAGCATTAATGGAAATACCTGAAGACCTTGACAGGCATGTAACAATTAAAAATGTTGACCGGTCAACATTTCATTTCATCATTGCGCATGCATAAATTTCAGCAGTTCAATTAAACAGTTGTAAATAAGGCATTAGTATTTATATAAGGTAATAACTTAAAATGACTCATGCCAAAATGTCAAATAAAAACCATGAATATAACTAACAGATTTTTTTTTATTCTCCCTTAATTCTCTATCTCTGTCTCTTTTTTTATAAAAATTTCAATGATACAAGTTTTTATCTTAAAACAATTTTAACTACAGTTTACATGAAATCTTAAACTAGAGATAAAATTTATGTAAATATTAAATGAAAATACTGTCATTTTCAACTGTAAGATTTACATGAATAAGGACATTTCTGTCTGTATTCCACACTTTAATATCTATGGAAATGTGAAATTGCCACTGTATGTTTATACAATACTTAAATACAGTTGACTCTCAATAAGTCAAAATCGCTTTACTCAAAATTCCGCGTTAGTCGAAGAATTTCTAAAGTCCCGTCAAAATTCCTTCTTTATCTTTGTTTTTTAACTCCGCTTAGGTCAAATTTTGACTTACCGAGACTCCTGTTTAGTCGAAAAGAAAATTTGGTCCCGTCAATTAAAGTTCGACATATTTTCATCTCAATTAGTCGAAGTGTGAAAACAGCCAACTGATAAAAGGTCGGCGACATTAATGTGATATAATGTCACTCGTGATTCACACGTTTCATAGTAATTTTAATTGACAGTCGTCATGTATTATTAACACGTCGTAGAAGTGGCTTTAATCGGTTCCAGGACTTAATTGGTTTTAACACTTAGATAACTAAATAAACAAACCTACTTCTTTGCATATTCAATCAGGCACATGTATATACATGTACGAATGCCAACGTAATGGCGGCAGATCCACGTTACTCGAACTCCGTTTCTCTCGAAGTAAAATGCCCAGTCCCTTGGATTTCGAGTTACCGAGAGTCAACTGTGCATAATTATCCTTAACTTCAGCTTTGTCTAGATATTCTTTATGTACATGTAATATACAGTAGGTAATACAGTAAGTAAATTAACAATAAAAGGAATATTACTTTTGAGTGATTTTTTAGTAGATTGAATTGCACAATAATATATACACATTAGCCCTTCCAGCGAGCTCCTGGATATATAAATTTATACAAACAGCTCCAAAAATATTACACTTCAGAACAGCACACTTGAACCATATTCCCTTCATATCAATAAAATATTTAAGTTTCTGTTATCCCTTAACATATAATCATAAAGTCATGTAAATACAAACAATATTATTCAGATATTGTTTCATATGATATTAATAACTTCAATATTATGAACAGAAAGTAATAAGTTTTTTTTCCACAAGTACACATCTGTGCAGTATGAGCAGGCTTTTTGTAGCTCATTTTATAGTATTTCTATGATGAAAACCACTTATACTTCAAATACACTGTGCCAAATTAAAATCCATTTCAACAGAAGCAAGTGAAAATATGAGATGACTTGATAGGCTTTTAAACTGCAAACAGAAATCTTGTTGCCTTTACAATATCTATGAACACATACAAGATCAGAGCAGGTGGTTGAATGCTTAGTATTATATATAATAGTATGATAAATGTAACATGTTGAGTTAATTCATGTATCATGCTACTTGATTGTTTGATAAGCAACAATTTCTCATAACTGTTTTTTTTATAATCAACTGAGTTGAAGGAAACAATGCAACACTCAATGTATTGCACTGAAATGAATTCTATGCCTCTGTGTTTGTTTGAAAGGAACTTTGTACAGGGATATCAGTTTGACCTTTTAAAGGTTTAGAACAAACTTCCCCCTTTAAAGCTACATTAATATCATCTTTGTTTGATTTAGAGGATTTCAAAAATCCATTGCTTCCTAAACTGGCTTTAATATACGGCTCTAAACTGGCAGGTCCGCTGGTGTTCTTGCCGTCCTCTACTACATTTTCTTCCTGACAAGCTTTACCTGAATTTTGTGATGTATATAATTCAATGCCTTTCTCTGTAACTCTATCTAACAGTTTGTCATCTTGATTTACATCATCATCTATTTTTTTGTTTTTTTCAGCCTTTTCATCAGCATTTGAACTGATGTGACTTAAGTCTTCTTCAACTATACTAGCATCATTAGCATCTTTAGCACTTTCTCCGTCATCGTCTGTCATGTCAAAATCTTCATCTGGATTTCTGGTGCCCCCAGTATCTATAATACTTGAACAGGAAAAGTCACTAACTGTTGATCCATCTCCTAGTGAAACTTCATCTGGATTTTTATAGGGATTTGAACTCTTATTTAGGTCATCAATGAAGTCCTCAAAATCTACAGCATTTGAATCAGAACAATCAGATATTCTCTCAGTATCTAACACATTCTTAGTCTCTCCTACTACTTCATTGGTGGCGCCTCCTCCATTAAGTGGTGTAACTTTTATATCTTCACCTTTATCATAATTTTCTTCCACATCCTGTCTGCTTTTAGAAAATTCTCCCACATCATTTTCTATATTTTCATTTTCTCCTGCAGTTATATTTGAATGTTTCAAAACTTTTTCCGTTTTACCATTTAGAATTGTTGCTAAACTATAATCCATCCTAAGACCTTCTCTTGATTCTTCCTTTACATTTTCTTTCTTCTCCTCAGCAACTAAAGCCAATTTATCTTCATCACTGCAAGGTACTTCGTCTTGTTTGAGCATTTTCTTTTTTTCGTTTCCTTTTAACATTTTTTTAACACTATGAGTATCTTGGAGATCTTCATCTATTTCATCCTCTGAACTTTCTATAGTTCCTTGATCAGTACTGGGCACATCAGAAACATGTTTATGGTAGCCAGACAATACAGGTGAGGATTTTGGCTGTGCATGTACAAGATGCTGTTTATCATTGTTTTTACCTAGTACTGGTGAATCTGATTCCTGACAAGGGAACTCTTCCAATTCTGTCACATCTGTAACGGATTCAAAATGTAAAACAAGAAACACTCACTTAACTATCTTTAAATTTAACCTTTCATGTATGCCACATTAACTAAGTAAGGGAAGAATTATATTTGTGGACTTGGCTCTTATTTTTCAGTTATAATTAAGCTACTCTTACAAATATCTAACACTGTAAATCATTAAAATGCATAACCACTGACTCAATTGATTTAAAGGCACATAATGCCTCAGAAATCTATATCTTTTCCATTCTTAAGAAACATCAAACATGTGTTTAATAATGGATTATTAGCATGTTTGCATGTTTCTTCAAATCAAGTAAATTTACTGAAAAGATGTCTAACAACCATTTATACTGAGTCATACAACGAATCAGACATCTATATAATTAATAATATAAATTTAGTAGTGTTGCAAGCTATAACCAACAGATACTTTTAAAGGTAGTAATCCTAAGCCATGACATGACGTAGCGACAGGTTTGCAAGCTATAACCAACAGATACTTTTAAAGGTAGTAATCCTAAGCCATGACATGACGTAGCGACAGGTTATTAAATGTCTATAAATTCTTCAAACTACATGTCAGAATAATACAAAATAACTTATAAACAATTTTCAAAGAAGGAAAGGTTTTACTTTAATCAGATATCTTAAAGCATTGCATAAGAAAATGTTTACAATATACTTTACAAAAAAAACTACAATAAATTTAATACCATCTCGTAGCTGCACTGAATGCTGGTCTAGGCTTGAACCGGGGCTATCTGAACCTTTACCACTGTCATGGTTGTCTCTAGACTAAATAAATATTTCATAATTTTACAAAATGTTCTCGGAATAATCTTTTCTTCTCAAACATAATATGAAGTAAGGACAACAGTATACCTTAAATAAAGGTGTAAAAAATCAAGCATCTGTATCATCAGCCCAGGCCTAACAAGGGTAAAATTCTAGGCCAGGCAGGGCACAAGTTTTTCTGTGACTTTCTAGCTGATAATAACATGCCTATAAAGTCATTAAGTTCACTACTGCTATTTTTGAATTAAGTTTGCAGTGAAATTGGCAGTAACTTGAATAACAAGCAATTATCATAGTATTGCAAGCAACCCATAAGTCCCCTACCGGTTAGAACCCCAGCAACATTCTGATGGGCCATTGGCCATTTAATTATACCATTGAATGAATGAATGAACTTAAATCTTTTGAGTTCTAAGTTTGTCTAAATCAAATGTGTTAGTTTCCCTGCCAAGTAAGGAAATTATGCTTTATATACAACAAATAATCAAAAGGTCTAATTTTCTCAGGATGAATAAGTATAACAAATGTTTCAACTTTTCTCTATTTTAAGTAAATTTGTTGAAAAAAAATCTTTAAAAGTTATCTCAGGAAACAGTTTTATGAACAGACAGACTGAAGGAGACTCTAAAGTTAATTTTTTAAACATCCCTGTTACCAAAATATAACATAGGAGATAACTCTTGCGATAAAGATGCTAGATTTATGAACATTGTCATACATGATGATACCCTTTATAGTCACAAAGAAGAAAAGTAAAAAAATAACAATTTTCTAGTATACCATTAACATGTATATTTACAAAGATGAAAATTAAAAAAAATATATAATGTAGGTGTTGATAATGAATGTTTATTTTGAATTTGAAGTAAATCCATGACGAAATAAGAAAATTAAAGAATGAATAAGAAAAATTCAAAGTTTAAGTAGGAGATGATTCTAGAAATATGGATTCTAGATTTATAAACCTTGTCATATTATTAAGATGTGGGAGTTTGAAGTAAATCCTATAAGGAATGAAGAAGTTGGGAGTAAAAAATACCAATTTCTCGAAAAAGTTCAAGGGGGGTATAATTCTGAAAATAGTCTTGCTAGAGTAATGAACCTTCTCACATATATTGAGTGATAATAAGAAACATACATATGAAGTTTGAAGCAGATACATTAAGAAACAAGCAATTATCATAGTATTGCAAGCAATCCTTAAAACCCCTACTGGTTAGAACCCCAGCAACATTCTGAAGGGTCATTGGCCATTCACTAATGTTTCTATTTTTCTCTTTTTTAAGAAAATTTGTTGGAAAAGTTCTTTAAAAGTGATCACAAGAAACACTTTTTATGAACAGACAGACTGAAGGACACTCTAAAGTTAATTTTTTAAACATCACTGTTACCAAAATATAACATTTTTAAAAGCAAAATTCTTAAAGAGGAGATAACTCTTGAAATAAAGATGCAAGATGTCATACATGATGTGTGTGTAACAGAGAACAATTAGTAATGAAGCTGTTCATAATGAATGTTGATTTTAAATTTGAAGTAAAAGTTAAAAGAATGAATAAGAAAACTTCAAAGTTTAAGGAGGATATAATTCTGGAAATAAGGATGCTAGATTTATAAACCTTGTCATATTATTATGATGTGGGAGTTTGAAGTAAATCCTATAAGTAATGAAGAAGTTGGAGTAAAATATACCAAATTCTGGAAAGAAATCTAAGTTCAAGGGGGACATAATTCTGAAAATAGTCTTGCTAAAGTATTGAACCATCTCACAAATGATTTGAGTGATAATAATTAAACATGTATATGAGGTTTGAAGAAGATACATTAAGAAATAAAGAAGTTATTAAAAAAAAATAAAACATTTCTTTTCATGTAAGTTCAAGGGAGGCAATTCCGATAATTTTTGTGCTAGAGTTGAAACCTTGTCAGATATGATGTGGTTGATGACCAGAAACTTATGTATGAAGTTTGAAATAAATACCTTACGAAATAAAGAACTTATAGTGAAAAAGCCTAAAAACTAGAATCAGAAATCTTGACTAGGTTGCTGACGTTTGTTAAGTATGACAGTTGTCAATATTCTCCCTTTAGTCAAGATTAAAATGATGTGTATAATCTCCATACTACCATCTATCCATATTTCAAGTTTCATAAAAATTTTCAGCTTTTTATTACTAATCACAAGTATTGTTATATTTGCCATGTTTTAAGCCTATTTGTTGCCATGGCAACCAATTTTTTTCAAAATAGGTGAAAAGAAAAAGACATGCATAATCTCCATACTGCCATTTACGCATATTTCAAGTTTCATAAAAATATTTTCAGTACTTTCTGCATTATCACTAGATCCAGTTTATGTGTTAAATTTGCCATATTTTCAGTATATTTGTTGTCATAGCAACCAGAATTTTCAACATAGGAAGAAAAGAAAAAGATGTGCATAATTTCCAGACTGCCATCTACCCATATTTCAAGTTTCATAAAAATATTTACAGTACTTTTTGCCTTATCACTGGATCAAGTTTATGTGTAAAATTTGCCATATTTTCAGTCTATTTGTTGCAATAGCAACCAGAATTTTCAACATAGAAAGAAAAGAAAAAGACGTGCATAATCTCCATACTGCCATCTATCCATAACAAGTTTCATTAAAATATTTTCAGTACTTTTTGCTTATCGCGGGATCCAGTTTTGTGCACAGACGGACTGACAGACAGACGGACGAACTGACAGATGGAAAGTAAACCTAAAGTCCCCTCCGGTAAGCCAGTAGGGGACTAATAAAGATGTTATTAAAAAAAACAACATTTTTTTCATGAAAATTTAAAGTTCAAGGGAGGCAATTCTGATAACTTTTGTGCTAGAGTTGTAAATCTTGTCACATATGATGTGGTGGATGACCAGAAACTAATATTTAAAGTTTGAAGTAAATACCCTAAGAAATAAAGAAGTTATAGTGAAAAAGCATAAAAATTGGAATCAGAAATCTTGAAATTCAGTCTGTTTGTTGCCATAGCAACCAGAATTTTCAGCATAGGAAGTAAAGAAAAAAATGTGCATAATTTCCAGACTGCCATCTACCCATATTTCATATTTCAAGTTTCATAAAAATATTTGCAGTACTTTTTATGTTATCACTGGATCCAGTTTATGTGTTAAATTTGACATATTTTTAGTCTATTTGTTGCCATAGCAACCAGAATTTTCAACTTAGGAAAAAAAGAAAAGACGTGCATAATCTCCATATATCAAGTTTCATAAAAAAATTGTCAGTACTTTTTAAGTTATTGTGGGATCCAGTTTTTTGGACGGATGGACTGACAGAAGTTCCTACTGAGTTGACATTATGGGGTTTTTTCTTTGATCTCCTTTGATCTCTAAAACCCCATAAACAACGTATTCCCACCCCATAAACAACGTATTTCCCCACAAGTACTGTCTGTACGGAATGAACATGGATATTCACCCCATAACTTCACTTAGGTCATACGGACTAACAGACGGATGGACAAACGGATGGAGGGTAAACCTAAAGTCCCCTCTGGTTAAACCGGTAGGGGACTAATAAAACAGGTCAATATATGTGCATAACCCAGGAACACCTGTTAAATATACAGGCCCCGTGTTCACTAAGAAAAGATCAGGATCAAGTGATCTCTGATTATTTCATATTTAATGTTCTAAAAATATTTGCAGTTTTGTTGATTTATATTGTTAATATTTAAAAATTGACATATGCTGTTGCCATAGAACAAAAATTTTGAATTAGGAAAAAAAGAAAAACATAATCCATTAATAAATTTCATAAAATATGGTCAGATTTTTAGGGTCATGGGATCATTTTTTTGGACAACTGACAAAATGTCCTTTTTGAATTAACATTATTTTTTTTTCATTATCTCCCTTATTCTAAATACCCCATTAACAAACTTTATAATCAAGTATTGTACTGATGAAGGATACACCCCAATAACGTAATTAGGGTCGTACGTAAAATTGATCCGAAACTGTGATCCTATCCCTTTTTATAAGGTCAATTTGTGAAACCAGGAGCCTGGGTTACTGGCTGCTGTATTTGACTCTAATACTTTAAACCTGTAACAACCTTTATCATATGAGTAATTTATAACTGACAAAAACATTACAAAACTGTACATGGTTTGGTGAAATGATTATCCAAGGTATATGAATTAACAGGTAAAAATATCATATTTAAAATATCATAAATATCTTTATACAGAAACTAATAAAACAACATAATGTAGTATTAGAACAACTGATCATTAAGTACATATATCAATTCTATATCACTTCATAATGTATCAGCAAAAAACAGCAGAAGGCTCACAAATGTTTGTATGTTTGTTGGTCATATAGGGACTTTCGAGATTTTACTGATGGAGGAAGACCATATTCCTCTTAAAACAACCTGTGACAGATATTAGTTCACCAATTTGTGCTAGTACATGTAAAGTCATTAACACGAAATAAAATATTACCTGATAGTTGTTTAGTTTAGCATTATCACCATCCTCCATCATTTTATAGAACTCAATGTTACCTTCACCATTTGGCTCCTACAAAATGTAGCATGAATAATAAATATTTATGAAAATAAATAGTTTTTTTTGTGTGTTTGTTTTTCTGTGTGTTTATTTTGTAAAAATATTTCAAGCATGGGCTGTCTTTTTAACAGCTCTTTATGTGCGGACTAAAACAGTTTTATTGGACAAGATGCATTTTTTGCTTTTAATCATACAGTCACTATCAAGATAATGTAAACCATTTCTAAACTTCAAAAGATGATGACACACATGAATTTCTAGATTCACTTATGAAGGAGGATTTATGTAACATAGTGAAAGAAGTGAAGCATACAAAACATCTTGGTAGAGTGACCAAGTTTCTCTAAGTTGGCTGAATACCTTCAAAACATGAAGAAGGTCAATATTTCCTGTTTACCAAGGTAATATACAAATGAATTCACAATAAAGTAAACAACTAACCGGTACAGTGACCCCCAAGTCAGCTTTCATTTGTTTATGTCTCTTTCTGCAGCACAACACACTGGAATAAAAAATAAAATCCTTTTAAAGAAAAACTGTTCTATAATGATGCAAAACATATGTAGCCAAAAATGGGTCAGTCTATCAGAAACTAGGTTAGAAATAATGAAATGAAATTGTAAATTCACTCAGATGTTGCATAAAACATGAAGAGCCTCACACACACTGTACATATAGTTTTTTTGTATTTAAAACTGATTTCTTGCAGGTTTATTATATCTCCAAATCAAGCCTTTTTTACTTACAGGCCTATAACCAATCCAATAACTAAAGCCCCACACAAAGAGCCAAGCACTGCTCCTAGAACCAGAGAAGTATCTGACGATTCATCTGCAAAGCAAAATAGAAGTTTATTTATAATATGAGGGTCGACTGATAAATAAACAGAGTTCTCCTCTCAAAAATTCATTTCTTTATCAAATCACTCGAAAACTCGTTTACATTAAGAACAAGTTATTTCTACTTTTAATCATCAGGTACTAGAATTGATATTTAATACTTAAAGGGACTCACTCCACTGAGGTTAAAAGTCTAAAAACATAACACTTTAATTTCTTACATAAATGAGCTGGGGAACTTTAAACAGAAATATATGCAAAGATAATTAAGAAATATACTTTAAAATAAATTAGAAATCATATGTTTATGCTTTTCTTAGCCTGATTTGAGTGAAAAGCATTTAAATGCTTTTCATTTTGGGTCATTTTTTTACAATTTGAATACTCATTCTTTACAGACGAAGTGCGCGAATGATCTGAAATTTTGCACAAAGATTAGTGTTCTAAACCTAAATCAAATGATACATTTATCTGAAAAAAATATTTTCAGTCCCATCATGTCAAAAACCCTCAGAGGAGTTCCTTTAACAAGAATAAATGATATCCATAGCAACCATTGATTTGAAGCCCACTGATAATTCACATATTCTGAATTCATTAAACATGCAAGTTTGCAGTCAAATTTAATTTGGCGCAATGCAACTGACTTTAGTGTAACATTTCAACATTACATTATATTCGGAACAATTTGAAAATGTTATTTAGCAGCAGAATTTTATAGTCAATGTATAGATCTTTATGAACTAAATAACAAAACACACCATTTTCTATTTTCTTTTCTATGGGTTCACCCTCCTTGCTTTTTCCAAATCTGTTTGAAGCAGTTACAGATACTCTGTATCTAGATCCAGACTTTAGGTTCTCTATCTTGTGTACTGGTGTTGTAAAATTAGCAACAAAAGTTTCAGTCTTTTCGTCTGAATAAAAGAAAAAAACAGGTCTCAATCAAGGTTAGAATTTTAGTTTTTTAACAGAGTTGTGGCCTAAAGCTTAATGTGTTTGCCTCTAAACTCAGGTGTTACGGATTTGAGCAATACTCAGGTCACAGCCACATTTCCCTATACAACACTGGCATTTAAAGAGATAGTATTTACATTCTAAGAACTAGGTTCACAAATGAGATTAAATAATTACATGTTCAATTCAACTTAATTTTGCAAAACATATTTCAATTAGAAAATGACAAGGTATCTAAGGTACTTCATGGATGGTGAAGCAATTCAGGTTGCCCTGTAATATTTCAAGAAATAAGCTTTCACAAAAGTATGAACTTCAATTGCATAGCTGAATATACACATGAAGGAAGTTAAAGAACCCTTAAATTGAGACAAATCTGAACTTTAAATGGAGGCAAATCAATATAAATTTCTTTCCTATATAACTTGTTCATTATAACATCAATCAAACTTTCAAAAGCTCCCATTAAGCTATTATCATTCATATAATCATAAAATATAATATAAGGAAATTCTACCTGACAAGCATTTTGCCTCTTCTGTACATTCACTGTAGGAGATCAAGTAATGGTCAGGTTGTCCCCCTTCACTATTATAATATTGTCCGTACAATATTACGATCACTAGCTGGTTACCTTCACTATCAACCTTGTATAATGGCCTCTCTGGAACTATTGTAAACTATCATTCTATAATTTATCCTCAATCACAATTATTTAACCATTAAACTTAAAAAACTTTAAAAAGTCATAAAAACATGAGAAAGGTGACCAGTAACTCTAAAACGAAACTACCCATTGGTCTATTGCGTTCAAATATTCATACTCAACCAATAAGATGTCTGAATTTAAAAATAGCTTACAAAATCCTTTTTTTCATAAACAACTGAACACTTTATGTATCTGTTAATAATATAATGACTGTTAGATGAATTAAACAAACTTAAAGATTTATACTAATATATGATTAATTTCAATTATAGAATCTGACTTAATGGAAGTTTAATCAAAATCAGAAATGTGAAGTTGTCGGCCTAGCAGCGTGGAGTTGGCACCTTAAGAGGCCCAGCACCAAGAAGTTTGCAGTCTAGCGGCCCTGGGGCCTTTGCATTTAAAGTTGTTAAAATTTTGTATAAATAAGATGGCCATCATGGCCCTTATATCACACACCTGATCATTAAGTTTTCAATGACAAGGAACAATTACTATTGTTAGCTACGAATGAAAAGTAGATATAATGTCTCCATTTTAAAATGATATCATAATGTTCTTATATTCACCGGAAACAGTGTAATGTAAACAAGGTTTTTCCATATTTGGACTGTGTCATCTATTTTTGTTTTTGCTCCAGATCGATGACCCATATTTGAACTGGACATAAAAATCATTTAAACAACCTTGCTGATTAAATTTCCACCATATTTGGGCTGAAAATATTACATTTATAGCATAACCATGTTTGTTTTCCATATTTGGAATAAATAGATGACACATATTCAAAGTTGCTAGAAATAAATATAAAAATCTTTCTGACCAATTTCAAGAATATGTGGGCTGAAAATATTGCCTCTAGAGTGTCAAGATAAATTCTGATATTTCTGGTGCTAGATTTGTAAACCTTGTCACATAAGATGTGGTTGATGATCAGAAACATATATTTAAGCTTGAAGTAGAAACCTTAAAAAATAAAGAAGTTATAACGAAAAAGATGTTGTTGTTTAAAAACATTAATCAGAAATCTGGACATGGCTGCCGATGAGTATATGCTCTGTATAGTCAAGCATATAATAATGTGCATAATCTCCATACTGTCATCTATCCATATTTCAAGTTTGATTAAAATATTGTCTGTCCTTTTTAAGTTATCACCAATATTGTTATTTTTGCCATAGCAACAAAAATTTTCAACAGAGGAAGAAAAACAAGAGGGCCATGATGGCCCGGAAATCTTTCACAAGTATAAAGGCCCCTGGGCCAAGGCCAATTTTAAACCAGTGGCTTTATTTGAACAAATTTGGTAGACACCCATAAGAAGATGTTTCATCTCTAGCTCTTTGGGGTTTTTATAAGAAGATTTTTTAAGCTTTTACTATACATAAAGGGAAAAACAATGACTCCATCCCCCCCCCCCCCCCCGGAGGGGTCAATTTTGACCCCAGGGCTTTTATTTGAACAAACTTGGTAGCCACTCACTAGAAAATATTATATTATGTTTAGTATCTAAACTCTAGCTCTTTGGTTTTTTATAAGAAGATTTTTTAAGTTTTTACTATACACATATAAGGAAAATCAATGACCTCTACAGCAGGGCAATTTTAACCCAAGGTCCCTTATTTGAACAATCTTGGTAGACACCCATTAGAAGATGTTTCATGCTAAATACCTTAGCTCTAGCTCTTTTGGGTTTTTAAAAGAAGATTTATTAAGTTTTAACTATATACATAAAGGGAAAAACAATGACCCCCTAGTTTTGACCCCAGGGCTTTTATTTGAACAATCTTTGTATACACTTACTAGAAAATGTTTCATGCTTAATATGTAAACTCTAGCTATTCGGTTTTTTTCAAAGAAGATTTTTAAGTTTTTGCTATACTCGTATAAGAAAAATCAATGTCCCCCGGGGCGGGGCCAATTTTGACTCCAGGGCTTTTATTTGAACAAACTTTGAAGACATTCACTAGAAGATGCTACGTGCTTAATATCTAAACTCTAGCTATTTGAGTTTTTTCAAAGAAGATTTTTCAATTTTTGCTATAGTTTTACACATATAGGGAAAATGAATGATGTAATTCTTGCAATATTGGTGCTAGAGTTATGAACCTCATCATATAAGATGTGGATGATGATAAGGTAATATATTTGAAGTATGAAGTTGATCCCTTAAGAAATAAAGAAGTAACAGTAAAAATAGTATTTTTTCTGGAAAATTCAAAGTTCAAGGGGAGATAAACCTGAAAATATTGGAGCTAGAGTTATGAACCTTGTCACATAAGATGTGGGTGATGATAAGGTAATATATTTGAAGTATGAAGTTTATCCCTTAAGAAATAAAGTAGGAACAGTAAAAATAGTATTTTTTAAGGAAAATTCTATGTTAAAGGGGAGATAAATCTGAAGATTTTGGCGCTAGAGTTATGTACCTTGTCAAATAAGATGTGGTTGATGATAAGGAACACATAATTGATTTTTGAAGTTGATCCATTTAGAAATAAAGAAGTAACAGTAAAAATAGTATTTTTTCTGGAAAATTCTAAGTTCAAGGGGAGATAAACCTGAAAATATTGGTGCTAGAGTTATGAACCTTGTCACGTAAGATGTGGTTGATGATAAGGAACATATATTTGAAGTATGAAGTTTATCCCTTAAGAAATAAAGAAGTAACCGTAAAAAATAGTATTTTTTAAGGAAAATTCTATGTTCAAGGGGAGATAAATCTGAAAATATTGGCGCTAGAGTTATGAACCTTGTCACGTAAGATGTGGTTGATGATAAAGAACATATATTTGAAGTATGAAGTTTATCCCTTAAGAAATAAAGAAGTAACCGTAAAAAATAGTATTTTTTAAGGAAAATTCTATGTTCAAGGGGAGATAAATCTGAAAATATTGGCGCTAGAGTTATGAACCTTGTCAAATAAGATGTGGTTGATGATAAGGAACATATATTTGAAGTTTGAAGTTGATACCTTAAGAAATGACAAAGTTATAGTGAAAAATATTTTACTGCACCAAAACTTTAATCCGACGCGGACGCCACCACCACTTCGTATAGTCGAGCTAAAAATGACATGCCAATTCTACCCTTAAGTTTCATACAAGAAGCATGGCAATACCATGAAACCAGGCCCCATGTTCACAAAGATTTAAGGATCAGGATCAAGATCAGGATCAAATTTAAAAACTCAAATATTCTTCATTAATTATCCTCATAGATGAAATATATAATATTAATTTGATAAATAAAATAAGTAATGAAATTCTAAAATAAACTTATAGTTATTTTTGCAAGATAAAGGCATTTACAGATAATCCAAATATTGATCCTGATCCTGAAATTGATATTATTTTGATCCCAATATTTTTGTATTTGTTTTATTTGTTGATTTTGTCCTAAAATAGGTTGGTTTCTTTGCAAATCAGCAAATTTTTGCATTTTTAATATGTATCATTTAATTCTAGCACAATATGATAAATAGTAACATTAAACAATGAAAATAAAACCAGGATCACTTTATCCTGATAGTGAACACAGGGCCAGGTTTTCAATTATCAACATTATAGAAAGTTGTGTTGTAGACAGAAATACAGATACAAGTAACTTACAACACAACATATAACTATGTGCAATATAAATTATAAATACTGGAACAACTATAGATATAAGCATGTTTTTTGTAATTATAGCAGATGCAAAATATAGCAATGATATCTTGGCTTTGATCCTGGTGGGATGGGGGCCCTAAACAAATCTCAAACAAAATCTTCACATCAGCATTAACAATTTTTTTTAAATATCTCACTTTAAACTCCACTTATCAACCTGAAACTATTTTTAATGACCTTGATACTATTGGGCTCAAAAGCAAGTCAAAGTAAGGCTTTCAAATAGGAATGCTATACAACAAGTTTAATAAAAGTATCTTACTTTAGTTATTGACCCTACATCAATTTTCTATTTTTAATAACAGTTACCTTGGGTTTGAGCCTAGGGCTAAGCGTAAGCTATCTTAAGCATGGTATAAACATAAGCTTAATTTAAACAATGTTTCTTTGAACTACGTCATTCTGAACTCCAGTTATTGACCAGACACTGATTTTCTATTTTTAGTAACAGTGACCCTTACCTTTATACTGAGGCCCAAAAGCAATCCCAAGGAGAGCCTAACAAAAGCTTATAATACACATAGTTACACTGAAATATCTAATTCCAAACTCTAGTAATTGACAGGAAAACAATTCTCCTTGATTTTATGGGACTCAAAAGCAATACCAAGGGAGGTCTTCATAAAAGCTTGACAGCAAGTTTCATTGAAATGTCTCATTACAAAATAAAGTACATGTAATTGGCCCCGAAACAGATTTTCTATTTTTAGTAACAGTAACCTTGACCTTAGGGGGTCCAAAAGCCATCCCATGCTAGGCCTTTAAAAAAGCTTTCTATACACCAAGTTTCATTTAAATATCTCATTCCAAGATCTTATTATTGACCAGAAACCAATTTTCAAAAGGCAATAACTCTAGAATCATGAAGTACAGAGTACCGGTTATTGTGCACTGCTCTCCTTTTTAATGAGATCTATCATCCTATGAAGTTTCAAGTCCATAGCTTTTATAGTTTAGGTGAAATGGCTGGGACAAAATAAAGTATTATAATTAACAAAGGGCAATAACTCTAAAATCATGAAGTACAGAGTACAGGTTTTTGTGCACTGCACTTCTTCTCAATGAGATCTATCATCATAATTATGAAGTTTCATGTCTAAAGCTTTTATAGTTTAGGAGAAATGGCCCGGGCAAGAATGAAATATAAAAAAACAAAGGGCAATAACTAAAAACAAGAGGGCCATGATGGCCCAAAGTCGCTCACCTGTATATAGGTCCCCGGAGCGGGGCCAGTTTAAACCCCAGGGCTTTTATTTGAACAAACTTGGTTGACACCCATTAGAAGATGTTTCATGCTAAACATCTAAGGTCTAGCTTATTGGGTTTTTTTAAAACAAGATTTTTTATGTATATATATGTGTGTGTGTGTGTGTGTGTGTGTGTATGTATGTATGTATGTATGTATGTATCTATATATATATATATATATATATATATATATATATATATATATATATATATACATATTTTTATATATATATGTATATATATATATATATATATAATATACATACATATATATATATATATACATACATAAATATACAATATATATATACAATATAGATACATACATATATATATATATATTTCATATATACACACACACCAAAAAATGCAATACATATATATATATATATGTATGTATGTATATTGTATATATATAATATATATATATAAATTACATATATATATATATATATATGTATATAATATGTATATATATATATATATATGTATGTATATATATTATATGTATACAGTCAAACGTGTATTAAGCGACCGGGCAAGGGAAACACCAAAAACAGTCGCTTAATGAAACGGTCTCTTAAGACAGTCAGCATGATATAAAAGTCAAAATTTATAAATGACATCTTTTTATTCGGTGAAATTGTTTTTCAACTTCATTTTTATATAAATGTTGAAAAAAGTACGCTCCGATAATCTAAACGGATGGAAATGTAAAAAAATAACTTTCTGATATTTATTGACAAAACAGTTTCAAGATCCATTACGTACATGTTTGACATTTTTTCCAGAATTTTTTAACTTCTCCGTTGTTTTCTGTTGTTTTATTTTGTTTTGTTTACAGTTAGATGGCCCCTATCCCTTATTTGGTAGTGTGGACGGACGGTACGCTCCAGGGGCATAAAAAAACTAATTTTATTTGCCTTATTAATGTTAATTAGGTTTCAAATTTTTAACAGACCATATTTGTCACAAGACCATTTTTCCAAACAGAGGTTTGACAATACAAATTTGGCAAACAAGGTGTAAAATAATATAAATTAAAAAGAACAGAAAAATAAATTAAAAATCTTTAAAACAGCCCCGAATTTCATTTTACAGCATGAGGTTACACAGAAAATCATGTATAAAAAAATGTATTTTTTTATATATCTGTGCAAATGCAAAATACATTTTCTTGAGAAAGAGGTAGGGGCGTAAACTTAGAAATTAAGAAATGAACAATTTTTAGGGACTGTATTTACTCATCTACAAGACAGCTCGGTTATAAGACAGGTATAGAATTTTACTCTTATACTGGCAGAAGTTTTTCTACATATTTTGTCATCCATTTGTAAGGCAAATCGTGTGGAATAAGACTGACTTGGCCATGTCTTGTAGACAAGTAAATTGTACAGCCTAGGGTTAAAAGCATCACCGTCCTTTGTTGACTTAAACGAAACAACAGTTATTACACACTTGAAGGTACATGAAGGTGAAGGCAAGAAAAAGCATGCATTATATAGGATTATATACCAGCTCTCGTTTTGAATCTAAATTTTTCCCACACTAAGCCACCACTGAGTTTATTTGTTTCCAAAGAAACAGCGAATCTTAAATCAGCAGTGTCATGTGATTTTTGTAATATACGACTGGTTCTGTTTTCACACCCTTCTGTTATGCTGAAAGTGGACCAGTCAAAAATGTCCTGCAACAAAGAAACGATTCAAATTAAGAATGTATTGTACTGATCACCTTAACTTATCTAACATAAATAATGACACAAGGATTTCACATGTAGTACATTATGACTGTAATGTTTCGTACTATCACAAACGCATAAACTCTTCCAAAGAAAGGCAAACAAGAATTTCCAATCCATATTAATTAACATTTTAACATGTCAAATACATATTTCTAGAGGCACCTGGCAATTCATGCCTGAACTGTAGCAAACAATATTACGGTATTTTTTTTTTTTAATTTCATATACAATTTGCCATTCAAGGGCACACAAGGCTGCCAAAAATTTGTTTTATTAAACTACAAATCTGGCCAATTCTAGCATTACTTGGGTAATCACAAGGAATGTATTTGTAAACACCCATCAAATATTTAAATAAATATACGTTTTTCATTGATTAAAGATTCATTGATTATTTGATTAAAGAGGCACCCCTCCAGATATGTAAAATAAGTCTTGAAAAATTCAAAGGTAACAAAGATATATAAATAAAAATACTATATAACAGGAGAAATATACGGTGAATGTATCATCTAAAATATGAGAATTTATCTACCTATACCCCAATTTTTAACAGAGTAAGGGTTTTCTGCATATTTTGACAAGTCAAAGGTTTTTCTGCAACTTAATCTAAATCATTTCAATTCTATACTTTTAAAACAAATTCACATTCACTCCTTAAATCAAGATTTGATTAAAAAAAAATATATAAAAAAAAATTGAGATAAATCAGAAGGTATGTTGCTTTAAACTTAAAGTAATAAAAGTAAATGTCATCATCATCAAATGACATGTATGTTTTTCTACCTTACAGTGAACCATTGGATTTGTACCATTGAATGACATGTATGTTTTTTTACCTTACAGTTAACCATTGGATTTGTACCATTGAATGACATGTATGTTTTTTTACCTTACAGTTAACCATTGGATTTGTACCATTGAATGACATGTATGTTTTTTTACCTTACAGTGAACCATTGGATTTGTACCATTGAATGACATGTATGTTTTTCTACCTTACAGTGAACCATTGGATTTGTACCATTGAATGACATGTATGTTTTTCTACCTTACAGTGAACCATTGGATTTGTACCATTGAATGACATGTATGTTTTCTACCTTACAGTGAACCATTGGAATTTGTACCATTGAATGACATGTATGTTTTTCTACCTTACAGTGAACCATTGGATTTGATTGTACATGTATGTTTTTCTACCTACAGTGAACCATGGATTTGTCATTGAATGACATGTATGTTTTTCTACCTTACAGTGAACAATTGGATTTGTACCATTGAATGACATGTATGTTTTTCTACCTTACAGTGAACCATTGGATTTGTACCATTGAATGACATGTATGTTTTTCTACCTTACAGTGAACCATTGGATTTGTACCATTAATTGACATGTATGTTTTTTTACCTTACAGTGAACCATTGGATGTGTACCATTGAATGATTTTTCATTATCTATGAGGCACCAATAGACAGTAGCTGATGTAATATTGCGGCAAATTTGGGAACTTGTACCCCATGAAACGTCAACAACTTTATCACCAACCTCCACTGATACCCACTCAGGTTTTAGTCTTTGTCCTGTAACAATACAATATTACTTCTCTAAGATTACAGTTTAAAAGTTTCTCTGTTATGCATTATTTTGATCATTAACATCATTTAAAAATGTGATTTTAAATCTAACTTCCTGCAATTTGTCAGTTTGACTTTTCAAACAAAGAGAGCTATTATACCCACCCAGATATAAAAAAAATATATAAGTTTTTGGGTTTTAAGACTGTATCTCCAAAACTATTGAATTGAATGTGTTAAAACTACACAAAGAACCCATAACTCTGATTTCCTTTTTCTGGAACATACTTATGCCCCTTTTTCAACTTGGAAAGTTTTTATGTTTAAGCTGATACCTCTATAACTACAGAAGGGAATGGACTGAAACTTTACGTGCCTGTTCTCTGTGATAATTTTACATAATTGGCAAAGTCCCATAACTCTGTTTGCTTTTTGGACCTTTTTTTTTAGAAAAGTTGTCTGAAGGACACATGTGCTCAAACATAACACTTCACACAGAGCAAATCTTTGCTAAATCTGGGGCCACAATTGTGATTTTCATTTAATTTGCATAAAAACCCAGGTGTGAAAGTTCACATGCTTACAACTTTTCTTAGAAAGTTTTATTGTTCTTGCAGGTTTCTTTTTGGATTTACACATTACAACAAGTCTGGAAATGCAGTTTTTTGCTAAATCAGGGGGTATAACTCTGCTAATCTTACTTATAAGGTTTCACAGTCTAGTGGTTAAACTTTTGGTGATATTAGACACTAGTCTAAAATGGTAATCTCCTCTTAATCAGGGGCCGTAACTCTGATCTCCAATTAAATTGAACATTGTACACCTTCATACACAATGAAAACATCAACATGTCTTTTGAAATAAATGGAACAGTCCCCTATAAGCTGTTACCATACAAAAACCTCCTTATTCCTAGGTAACAGTCTGACCAGGCTCTATACTGTTGGTAGCAGATTTTTTTATTTTGATATTGAAACCTCTTAAACTTTGAAATAAATGTCTCAAATTCAAAGCAAGTCAAATTCATTACAAAAATTCGTTAAGACTTAAAGATGAAGCAATTTTTATACATCAATTTTTTTTTATGTCTAAAAAAATCAGTAAAAATGTTACCTTTGCTCCAATGTGGTATAAAAAGTTCACTGCTGTTCTTGGACATTCCTTCACTGTTTATCAATGTCACATCTATCTTGTAATTCTCTAACATACTTAATGGCATAAGGGATGAGGACACAGACAACCCGGTAACATTCTTTGTCATTGGCACAATCAAGCGTTTCAATCTGTATTCCGGCTGGTTGATATATATGTTTCTCTTCTTGATGTGTCCATGCCTGCTGGACAAACTTGCTTCATTGTCAATCTCCTCAACATTTATCTTATAACCAATGAATGGTCCATTCCAAAACTTTCTTAGAGGGTTCTGAAAACAAATGTACCCCTTGTTAACTAGTCTAAAGTCTAGACTAGTAAAGTCTGCTGTTGGAATTTAAAGGCTTAGAAGAAAATATGAGTTTTTATACTTTTTTACCGTTAGAAATCATCAAAAATGAATTATCATTTTGATAGTTGACATATCAATTTTCAATCAGCACAGAAAAGCATAGCCACTTAGAATGAAACTGAAACAACAAATATTTCACCATTCTACTCAATCCTTTTTTCAATTTGATTATGTTGTGTATATATGTTTGATAGGAATAAAATACACTTTACCTTCCAGTAAATTACAGGACACATAGCCTCATCACCACACGCTTGCAATAAAAAAGAGCCAGTTGTTACAGAAACAGACCGCTCTGACACTGAAAAAAACAAAAAAACATTTTCCATGAAGTACACATATGTTGCTGATGTTATACAATCTGTGACAAAATTCCATGTTTTATTTAGTGGTTTCAGTTTTGTAAGGTTATCTCCTATTCATAGTAGGATTTTTACCACTTCACACCATTGTTATACAGAAAATACAAAAGAAAAGTATCTCTTCCATATATATGTAGGTTTATTACCCTTCCAGATTTTTTCCATCTTTTTGATTGGATATTGATCCGTCGAAAGAAATTGATATTACCGAGCCAGACGGGTAATATACACACTAAATATACCCGTTGGGTACCCCATGTTGTAAACAACATGCCCTGTGGCGATGCGCGCACGGTTTGCTTTTACCGCTGTAAATTCCGATTTTTAACTGTCAAATGATAAATATTTACCAAAATAGAGTAATGATACATAATTATTCTCATCAGTACTGAAAACAAATATGACCTTGTGAAAGCTTGATATTAATTCCAAACAAGAGCTGTCAGCTCGACTATTCTTAGTGCTTGATAGTAAAAAAAATGCTTGATACAGTTACCTCCTCCTGTTTACAGGTTGGGGTCATGATGGTGAACAAGTGTGCAAAGTTTCAAAGCCATATGTCAATGGACTTTGAAAATATTTGAACTATTACAAAAACTTTAACATAAATTCTAAGTCAAAAAAGGGGCATAATTCTGTCAAAATGCTTGATAGAGTTACCTCCTCCTGTTTACAAGTTGGGGTCATGATGTTGAACAAGTGTGCAAAGTTTCAAAGCCATATGTCAATGGACTTTGAAAATATTTGAACTATTACAAAAACTTTAACGTAAATTTTAAGTCGAAAAAGGGGCATAATTCTGTCAAAATGCTTGATAGAGTTACCTCCTCCTGTCTACAGGTTGGGGTCATGATGGTGAACAAGTGTGCAAAGTTTCAAAGCCATATGTCTATGGACTTTGAAAATATTTGAACTATTACAAAAACTTTAACATAAATTCTAAGTCGAAAAAGGGGCATAATTCTGTCAAAATGCTTGATAGAGTTACCTCCTCCTGTCTACAGGTTGGGGTCATGATGGTGAACAAGTGTGCAAAGTTTCAAAGCCATATGTCAATGGACTTTGAAAATATTTGAACTATTACAAAAACTTTAACATAAGTGGTTACGCCGACGCCGACGCTCGGGTGACTGCAATAGCTCTACTTATTCTTATCGAATAGTCGAGCTAAAAAGTGCGTTCAACAGATGACTCCTTTTCTCTTGTTTACATTTGTTAGGTTCGAAAGAAAATACGTCATGTATTTATGTGACGTCATGTTGTGGTGAAGGGGTACCCTAAAGGGAGTCTTATTTCGACGTTTCATTTGAAGTAGCAATGATTTATATTAAAATCGTTTTTAAGTAACTCGGCAGGGGAAGGGTAATAAAATTATTATTTTGGTTTTGGAGTGATATATGTGGATATATTACCTGCCAAGATAAAATATCACCCTCGCCTAACGGCTCGGATGATATAAAATCTTAACAGGTAATATATCCACATATATCACTCCAAAACCAAAATAACATATAATGTTGAGATTTTCAAAATTCAAACAATAAAGTTGTTAACTTTACACATCAGATATTAATTCCATAGCATTTTTGCTCTGAAACTAATGTTTAGATATTTCTCTTAAATATGTTTTAATGAAAATACTAATGGAGATTTTTTTTCGTAAAGATAAATGTCTAACAAGAATTGAACGTAAAATGGCAATTATTTACCCTCACCAATTAGTCTAATATGTTTATTTTGTTTTAACTGTTTGCCTTACAGAAAGATATAATTTTACAATATTTTATGAAATTATAATTGGCTACATTACCTGTTGTTGGTGTAAGAAAGGGTAAAGTATTTGATTCACTCCAGTAAATATCTCCAGTAGCTGCTGACGGCTTCACTAGAACTGTCACAGTATAGTTTGTATATGGTATAAGATCTATGAGACTGTATTCTTTACTGCGTTCAGTTGCATTTGTTATCATCTGAAAAATGAAATCCAAATAAAACATTTCCTTCATAATGGAGCATGAATAACCTGCACAAATACCCAATGATATGATTATTTGATCTCTAAACATTTACTAACACACTTTTTAGAACTTGAATAAGATTGAACTTGTCAAAAACAGACTGTGTCTTATACTGAAGTAAGTGAGAAAAAAATCGATGCCAGTAACTTAAGGCTAAAAATCACTAAGATACCAATTAAACAATTCTATGCACTTTTCTATACCCTATATTAAAGCTGCTAATATGATTATTTACCTTCTATTTTTACTACATGTACAAATAATATAAACAGGTCAGGTCTCATCGCAAGGGAGTCCGGTCAAAGTGACTTCCCTCTTTCTCAAGATGGAAGAAGCAACTTTGCCAAAAAGTATTAAATCACAATCAATTATTGCACAGTGATGCAAAGTGTAGAGTTGCAGGGCTGCTGATTATCATAAGCCAATCAGAGCATAGCTTATATAGAAGCATGAATCAATAGTTTGTCAACACTTTTAGTCTAAGACATGCTTATTAGTTAATTGAATGGACATTTTTACTTAACAAGGTTTATCCATTATGGCTGGTGGATAATGTAAATACATGTGTTATTCTCAAATTAACAAAGAACAGCACTGGATGTAAATACTGTATGCTATGGAGTTTTCACTACTATCAAAAAACAACAACAAGTAAGCTACATTTTTGACAGCCTTAAAAACTACATCATCTCTTTTTTTTTGGGAATAAATGAATTAAAATTGATAACATTCATGATAACAAATAACAAGATGGCCATGATGGCCCTGAGTCGCTCACCAGAAACAACTGCTTTTCAGTGTTGGAATGTCAATATATTCTAATATTTAATTTGAGCATAGAATATGTTTAAACAATAATTTAAAGAAATGCCATGACCTGGGGCATTTAAGCTTTAGCTTAAACGGGGCTAATCAAATTAATATGACCAAACTTGATAAAAGACTACCCAAGAATGCTACAAAGTTTGGTGATCATCTTAACAATTATTTCAGTAGGAAATGATGTTTGAAGGCTTTTTCTATTTTTAGCTTTTGAGGCCCCTAAAAGGGGCTAATCAAATTAATATAAGCAAACTTGATAAAAGAGTACCAAAGAATGCTACAGACAAAGTTTAGTGATCATCTATCAATTGGTTTTGAAGTAGAAGATGTTTAAAGGTTTTTCTATTTTTAGCTTTAGCGGCCCCTAAAAGGGGCCAATCAAATTAATATAAGCAAACTTGATAAAAGATTACCCAAAAATGCTACAGACAAAGTTTGGTGATCATCCATTAATTAGTTTTGTAGGAGAAGATGTTTAAACGGATTTCTATTTTTAATTTTAGCGGCCCCTAAAAGTGGCTAATCGAATTAATATGAGCAAACTTAATAAAAGACTACCCAATAATGCTACAGACAAAGTTTGGTGATCATCCATCAATTAGTTCTGTAGCAATAGACGTTTAAATGTATATCTATTTTAAATTTAAGCGGCCCCTAAAAGGGGCCAATCAAAATAATATGAGCAAACTTGATAAAAGACTACCCAACAATGCTTCAGACAAAGTTTGGTGAACATCCATCCATTAGTTCTGTAGAAATAGACATTTAAAGGTATTTCTATTTTTAGCTTAAGCGGCCCTATAAGGGGCCAATCAAATTCATATGAGCAAACTTGATAAAAGACTACCCAAGAATGCTACAGACAAAGTTTGGTGAACATCCATCAATTAGTTCTCTAGAAATAGACATTTAACGGTATTTCTATTTTTAGCTATAGAGACCCCTAAAAGGGGCTAATCAAATTAATATGAGCAAACTTGATAAAAACTACCCAATAATGCTACAAACAAAGTTTGGTGATCATCCATCCATTAGTTCTGTAGAAGAAGATGTTTAAAGGTTTTTCTATTTTTAGCCCTAGTGACCCCTAAAAGGGGCCAATTAAATTCATATGAGCAAACTTGATAAAAGACTACCCAACAATTCTAAAGACACACGGGGGCCTCCGTGGCCGAGTGGTTAAGGTCGCTGACTTGAGATCACAGGTCCCTCACCGCTGTAGGTTCGATCCTCACTCGGGTCAATTTCTTTCATGTGAGGATTCTGGAAGTCATACAGCTGGCTTACGGAAGGTCGGTGGTTCTACCTAGGTGCCCGCTCGTGCCTGAAATAATGCCAGAAGGGGCACCTGGGGTCTTCCTCCACCAATAAAGCTCGAAAAATTCGACGGAAAAATCTCGGCGGGACGCTCTAGGATGGCCGGACTTGAGTGTACGGTCGCCCATATGGGCTTTCCGGCGGCGACCTTAAATAAACGCATTAAAAAAAAAAAAAAAAAAAATGCTACAGACAAAGTTTGGTGATCATCCATCCATTAGTTCTGTAGAAGAAGATGTTTAAAGGTTTTTTCTATTTTTAGCCATAGAGACCCCTAAAAGGGGCCAATCAAATTAATATGAGCAAACTTGATAAAAGACTACCCAAGAATGCTACAGACAAAGTTTGGTGATCATCCATCAATTAGTTCTGTAGAAGATGTTTTAAGGTTTTTCTATTTTTAGCTCTGCTGATCCCTAAAAGGGGCCAATTGGAATGACATGAGCAAATTTAAGTGTGACTGTCACAAGGATGCTACAGACCAAATTTGAAGTAAATCTGCCTAGCAGTTTCAGAGAAGAAGACGATTGTTGACGCATGACAACGGACGCCGGAGCATCCCCCTTTGATACTAATAGCTCACCCTGAGCCTTAGGCTCTGGTGAGCTAATAATGTGGATATTTTGGTAAGTCAAACTTGTCATTTCGTTTAAAATGTCTGAAGTATTGTAAACATTTAATGAAAATCAAATCAAGTATGTTTAAATGTGTAACCAGTGGGGCCTTACCAGTAACACAACTCGCCATAACCATAACAGTAAATGTATGAAGTATTTAGTCACTGGTAGTACTAGAAATTTATAGAAATATCAAATTCTAGGATCAGCCATACTAATTTTCAAAATCACCTTAAACAAAACTCTGAAGTTGACTTTTCAGGTTGGGGTCATGATGGTGAACAAGTGTTTTCAAAGCCATATGTCTATGGACTTTGAAAATATTTGAACTATTACAAAAACTTTAACGTAAATTCTAAGTCGAAAAAGGGGCATAATTCTGTCAAAATGCTTGATAGAGTTACCTCCTCCTGTCTACAGGTTGGGGTCATGATGGTGAACAAGTGTGCAAAGTTTCAAAGCCATATGTTTATGGACTTTGAAAATATTTGAACTATAACAAAAACTTTAACGTAAATTCTAACTCGAAAAAGGGGCATAATTCTGTCAAAATGCTTGATAGAGTTACCTCCTCCTGTCTACAGGTTGGGGTCATGATGGTGAACAAGTGTGCAAAGTTTCAAAGCCATATGTCAATGGACTTTGAAAATATTTGAACTATTACAAAAACTTTAACGTAAATTCTAAGTCGAAAAAGGGGCATAATTCTGTCAAAATGCTTGATAGAGTTACCTTCTCCTGTCTACAGGTTGGGGTCATGATGGTGAACAAGTGTGCAAAGTTTCAAAGCCATATGTCAATGGACTTTGAAAATATTTGAACTATGACAAAAACTTTAACATAAGTGGTTACGCCGACGCCGACGCTCGGGTGACTGCAATAGCTCTACTTATTCTTATCGAATAGTCGAGCTAAAAAGCGCAACTGTTTTTAAATTACCTTAGTAAAGTTATCCCACTCTGATTTAATCTTTATTTCATAGTCCATAGCAAAAACAACCTTATCACCAGTAGTCAAACCATCTGGACCCTGCCAACTGACTGTGACAACATTATTGGTGCTATTTATAGTAACATTCAGGTTGACAACAGGATCTGGTTTTACTGAAACAAAAACATGTACAATATATCTACATATAATTCATAGATAAAGAGTTTAAATTTTTTAGTCATCTCAAGCATTAAGTTCTATATCAACATCATCAAAGAATTTAGAAGCTTACACATTTGATTAAGGAAATTTAAATCTTTCATAGTTACAAAAACACCAAAACAACTAGTTTTCAATTCATAATATTTATATTTTGGTAAAGTTTCCTGGTTTACTAGGGAGGAGAAAGACATCAGATGTCCCTGCCTGCATTAAACAAAAAATAGCACAGACGTGAGTAGAACCACTGACCTTCTGTAAGCAGGCTGGATAGTAAATCCTCACGTGACATAAGTCGAACCTACTTCTGTCAGTGCCCTTTAACCATAGACATAGTCAAAAACTGCTTCATTTATTAAACTCATCATCAACATCACAAACTTATATAGGCAATGATTCATTTAAATCATAAAAATCATACAGAACCAATCACCAACACGAAAGGCATAACCTGATTTTCCCTCAGGGAGATCACACACAGGAGCCAACAGCAATTAGGAGGTTTCAAGTTAAACTGACACCAAGGTTAAAGGTCACATATTAAAAAAAAAATTACCTTGGAAAATAAATAATCTCTTTTATTAAAACATTGTGGTAACAGCAGACATATGGCTATGCTAGATACTTTTTCTATTAACATATGAATTTAAGTAAGTAAAGGGCCATAACTGAGAATTTTTTCAAAAGTTTTTACTGACAATATGACACATCAAGCACTATAAATGATTATAATACTGGCTAATGAACTTGAGGTTTAAAGTGTTTCAGGGTCATGAAAACTACTGAATATAATGTCATAAAAAAGAAACAATTTAAGTTAGTAAACAATTGAAATGTCTTAAAATTGCCTAATTTTCATATTGGCTATAATTTGGTCTTTCTCATTCATGTAACTAAAATCCCTTTCATGTTTAGTGGCAATTATTTAAACACAGATGTGGCTATTACAATCCTGACCTTCACTTGCCATCAACAATGACCTTGATCTTTAAGGTGATGTATCCTAATCATAGGTATTGAAATTTGATCATATTAGTGCAGTATTATGTGTTATTACTTACATTCAGAAATAAGCCTGTATTATGGGTTCTGATTTGTGCCATTCGTGTTTTTGCCCCGCGCCCCAGCCAAGCGAAAAGTGGAAAACAAAGTTAAAACAGCTGGGGTGCGGAGCAAAAACACGCTAATTAGTGAGGGCGCTGGGCGAAGTTTAATAAATAAACTTTGCCCTGTGAGGGCGGAGTGAGATTTAAAAAATAAAACTGCGGTGTCGGGGGTCAAAAACATGCTAATCAGCGGGGCGCAGGACAAAGTTTTATTAATTTAACTTAGCCCCCCAACCCAGCTTATTAGCGTGTTTTCGTCCAGCATTCCCTCCAAGTCCCGAGCGAAAACACGCTAATTATTAGTTTTCGCTCCACTCCCCGGCTGTTTTATTTCTTAAATCTCGCTCTTGGCCCCCGCGGAGTGAAATTTTATTTATTTAAAATTGGCCCGCGCCCCCGCTTATTAGTGTGTTTTCGCTCGGTGCCCACACCATTGAAACTTGTTAATTTGCAACTTTTCGCTTGGGTCGCGGGGCAAAAACACAAATGGCACAAACCAACCAACATACTGTATACATGTCTATAACTTGATAAGAAGAATTCATCAGGAAAAATTTATTATCCTTGTAGAATCAGTGTAAATATTTAAAGTTTGAAATTCAGTTTAAACTCTTCATCAGCCCTTATATTAATATAACATTTCAGAAAAAAAAAACATACTTAAAGTTACAAACTTTTAAGGTACAGGTATTTACCTATAGACTTGTTTGCTTGTATTTTGAAGGTTTCAATTACTTTCACGCCATAGTCAATATTTTCACCTTTCACAGAAATGTCATATCTAAAATTCTGACCAAAATAATTTTTGTTCATTTTTCCACATATGAGGCTTAAATCTAAACCATTTGAGCAATTGACCACATCTGAACCCCAAATCCTGCAAAACAAATAAACATATACATTTCAACAAAACATATTTATCTATTTTCAAACACATTTTTTACATCCCTAAAGCTATATACATGTACAACTTCAGAAAAATGTATGTTCAGAATTATGTTGTTATATGTTTTGTAAGCTAAATAGAATATATTGTTAAGCTGGGATTTTTAAGTGATTTATGTGTACCTTTAATGAAATACATGTTCATCATCACTATATACATAAATGTGAACAGGTCAATATAATCTAATGATGTTTTTATCACACAAACTTCATGATTGCTTATTTTATTTCACATTCTTAAACAAGAGCTGCCAGTAAGACAATTCTCAGCGCTTGGTGGTAGCATGATAACCTGATTTATACTGTATCTTCTTACTTTATATACAGGTATATAATTATAATTCTGTAAAAGTTCATACTAGAACCTGTTATCAATTTTGTTCAGTGGCTCATAAATATGTGGAAAGTTTAGAATAGCCCTATTCTCAAAGGGGTATAATTCTTTAAGATACAATAAAATTATGACAAGTAAAATCTTGACCAGGACTTTAATTCACAATAAATCTATAACACAGAGTTATATGTCTACAATAATGATCAAAAAAAGAGATGTGTTAAATTTCTAAGTGATAATGGGGATATGAAGCTGCTGCAAAACAAAATGTTACTCTTTAATCACCACTCATATATAGGTGTGAAGAATATTATCCCACTTTTCTTTTATAATAAAGGTAAAAAACTTTGCTTACTGCTTTGCTTTAATTTGTATGAAGGCCAAATTCTTTTTTTATCTACATGTGAGGTGCGTTTTGGCAAATGTTTAATACAAATAAACAAATATGTTAAGGGGAACATTGCAGATAGACAAGTTCTTGTATTGACCTAATTGTAACATAACCAATTAAACTGAACTCAAATTAAGCAGATATATTTTTCTTAGAATAGTACAAATTTGCTTAAAAATTGTAAGCTAACTTAAACTATATGTCAATATCACAACTCGTGTTGACACTTAGCAGAATCAGACTAGCATATTATTTTTATTTATGTATCTGTGTTTTCTCACCAGACTATAAACCCATTTCACTATTAACTGTTAAATTTTCAATTAAAAATATTAATTGACCATAGAAAGTTCAAACTTTATTAACAAGGCAAGAGGGGATAGGCAATATGAAGATTAGGAGGTGGGTGCTGATTAAACATTACATACAGATATTGATGCACCAAATACCTTATGAACAAAATTAATAAACAAATCACAAACAACAGCAAGACAAAAGCAACATTAGAGCACAGAAAAACAGGCAATTTCATTCTCCTAAAACTATTGTTTAACCTAATCAGGTAGTATTACTTCCTTCTTCATTTGTTTTTTCCAGAGATTAAAGATATTTAAGGTTGAAGGTTATTATATTATCATAAATTAACATAAAAAAAAAACCTTAAATATTTTGAAACAATTCTGAAGGGCAAAAATATCTCTTTTTATTTCAGCTTAAACCTTTAAATTCAGACCTGTTTGACATAAATCATGTAATAACAAATATTTTATTGTATAATTAAAGTGATGATCAGTGTTTATTGGTGTACCGACAAATTAAGATACATTTGAAAATCTGTATGTGCTGCTTAATAGCTTTAGAGAGCTTAATGTTTCTCTACATGAATAAGTTACATCATAATTTAATTACTTTCATAAAAAATTCCAAGCTTGACAAACTTAGTATTTGTCCCATAATAAACAGAAGCAGATGTAGCAGAAGAAATACTGTTATTATTATGGAAGTTTCTCAATGGCTTAATTTTGCCTGTGATATATCATGACGGGCCAGCAACAGGAGATTTAAACCTAGTGTTACTCTGTTAAAAAAGGGGCATGCACCACCACATTAGCACACAAAAAAAGCCCTAGCTATCACCAAAGACAGACACAAGTTACCTATGTTTTCTACATTAAAAACACTAGAAGTTTTGTTAAGACGATTCCTAACCATTACACGAATCTGATACTGGGCGGAAGCTAATAATGTTAATGGCGTAGGCTCATTGTTTCTTCTGTCCAACCAGCATGTGAAATTGTTACGGTTACAGTTAGATTCTGGTATTGTAGTCCAGCTTTGGTTATATCTGTCTCAAACAAAGCAGTTTTGCCAAAGTAAGCAGGTTAGATAAAACTCTAAAACATTAACTTTATTAAAATACATGTATAAATAATAAAAAAAATATTGATAAACATCCTGTTTGATTTCTTTGGAAAATTTAAACATGAATAAAAAGGGTTTTGTAAGATAAAGACTTTTAAAAATGTTTAAAATAAATTAAAATCTGAAAACTTTTTTTTTTAAAAACAAAAAAAACTTGCAACTGAGAGCTTTAAATCATTTTTTGTGAAATAACGGTAAAAGTAATAATATTATTTTCAAATCTAAAATGGTAGTCTATGTGACAAAAAAAAAATTTAGACCCTAAAAAGACTTTTTGACTTTATTTTTGGGGCCAAAATTTTTTGTACATTATCAAATTTTCCTTTTTTTGTTTTGGACGGTTACAAATCCAAAACAGAGCAAATCCATAACAGGAACTCAGTATGTTAATGATATAGCAAATCCATAACAGGAACTCAGTATGTTAATGATATAGCAAATCCATAACAGGAACTCAGTATGTTAATGATATAGCAAATCCATAACAGGAACTCAGTATGTTAATGATATGTTCATTTTATATAATGTTACTATTTCTTTCTTTTTCTGAAAACCAAGACATGTATTACCTCTCAGAGAAATGAAATTCTTTAAAACCCCCTATATGTTGATTGTCACATGTTACTGTACATTAAGTTAACATAACATTTTTTTAACATAAATTAAAATTAAAATTGTAACAACAAAAAATTATAGTTAATGAAAAAATAGCTATGTTATTAAGTTTTAATAGACTTGTCTAATAAATAAATAGGCATTTATTATAACAAGAGGGCCATGATGGCCCTGAGGTCGCTCACCTGTATATAGGCCCCCCCCAACCCCCACCCCCTTCCCCCCAATGTTGCAGGGCCAATTTAACCCAAGGGCTTTTATTTGCACAAACTTGGTAGACACCCATAAGAAGATTGTTTCATGCTAAACATCTAAACTCTAGCTCATTGGGCTTTTTAAAAGAAGATTTTTTTTAAGGCGGAGTTTTTACTATACACACATAGTTATAAAAACAATGAAACCCCTGGGGCCGGGCCAGGGCTTTTATTTGAACAAACTTGGTGTAGACCTTACTAGAAGATGTTTCATGGCTTAATATCTAAACTCTAGCTATTTGGGTTTTTTCAAAGAAGATTTTAAGTTTTTGCTATACACATATAAAGAAATCAATGACCCCCGGGGCGGGGGCCAATTTTTGACCCCAGGTCTTTTATTTGAACAAACTTTGTTAGACACTCACTAAAAGATTGTTTCATGCTTAATATACTTAACTCTAGCTATTTGGGTTTTTTTCAAAAAGAAGATTTTTTAAGTTTTTGCTATACACATATAAGGAAAATCAATGACCCCCGGGGCCGTGCCAATTTTGACCCCAGGGCTTTTATTTGAACAAACTTGGTAGACACCTATTTAGAACATGTTTTTTGATGCTAAATATCTTAGCCATAGCTCTTTTGAGTTCTTTAAATAGAAGATTTTTTTAAGTTTTTACTATATGCATATATGGAAAATCAATGACCCCCGGGGCGGGGCCAATTTTGACCCCAGGGCTTTTATTTTTGAACAAACTTGGTAGACACTTATTAGAACACTGTTTCATGCTAAATATCTTAGCTCTAACTCTTTTGGTTCTTTAAAAGAAGATTTTTTAAGTTTTTTACTATAGCATATAGGGAAAATTCAATGATGCCCCCTGGGGCGGGGCCAATTTTGACCCCAGGGCTTTTATTTTGAACAAACTTGATAGACACCTATTAGAACATGTTTGATGCTCAATATCTTAGCCATAGCTCTTTTGAGTTCTTTAAAAGAAGATTTTTTAAGTTTTTACTATATGCATATAGGGAAAATCAATGACCCCCCCGGGGCGGGGCCAATTTTGACCCCAGGGCTTTTATTTGAACAAACATGGTAGACACCCATTAGAACATATTTCATGCTAAATATCTTAGCTCTAGCTCTTTGGGTTCTTTTAAAAGAAGATTTTTAAGTTTTTACTATATGCATATAGGGAAAATCAATGACCCCCCCGGGACGGGGCCAATTTTGACCCCAGGGGCTTTTATTTTGAACAAACTTGGTAGACACTCACTAGAAGATGTTTCATGCCAAATATCTAAGCTCTAGCTCTTATGGTTTTTTAAAAGAAGATATTTAAAGTTTTTTCTTTCGGTTGCCATGGCAACCAGAGTTCTGCATGGAATTAAATTCTTTGAACAATTTTTAAAGGTGACCACCAAAGGAACATTCCTGTGAAGTTTGGATGAAATTGGCTTAGTGGTGTATGAGGAGAAGTCATTTAAAGTAAAAGTTTACGGACGGACGGACGGACGATGGACGGACGGACGGACGAAAAGCCATCACAAAAGCTCACCCTGTCACTTTGTGACAGGTGAGCTAAAAAAGGTACATCAATAATTACATAAGTTTTTATTAAAAATTAGGTTTTAATTAAAACTGTGATCAAAACAAATCAAACTGAATCACTTAAAAACACAATAAAAGGTAACGTTATCATAATATTAGTGTAAATAAAATTTGAGGAAGAATTACACACAGCACACACACACAAAATTTAAAGAAATGGTAAAATTCACCAAAAACCTCAAATATAATAATATATCACCTTGCTATTTATAGGGTTAAATTATATCTGAAGGGAAGACCTGTAGAAAAGAAGTTGCATGTGTTGACTCATTGATACTTTATTGTAAATTGGTAAATAAAGCAGTTTTAAGTTATAACATAATCAAATATTATGAGACAATATTTCAGCAAGAATGTCCTGATGGCAGTGGATTACACACCAGGCAAGGCAATCATAGTAGTTGTTGATTAAAGTTGAACTTTTAAAAACTTTTTAGCTCTGCCGGTCATTTTTCTCAGCAGACCAATTTTTGGAATATTTTTCACTTTAAAATTTCTTATCGACTTTTTGTTTGTGCTCACGATGTATGCAACAATACTTGAAGTAAAACAAGAATTGGTTTATAAAACACTATCATAACAAGTCATTCTGTTACATGCATCTTACAGTCAAATGCAAGCAGTAGTTAACATATAATCTTTAGCTAACATAGAGATGTTTGTTTCCTATATTAAACAAGCCAAGCTTATCTCAGTTAAATTAAAAATTTCATCTCATATATTATAAATTTTTCTATTAGTTTCAAATAATTCAATGAGACTGAATTTTATGTTTAACATATACCAGTATAATCGTAATGATGATACATGAAGATAATGACAGTAAGTCAATATACTCCTCAAATGTGTTGTCTTATCAAATTAATAGACTGTCTCCTATTCAAGGTAGGACAAATCCATTATACAAATACAACAGGTAAAGGTAGAACCATATATAGAATAGTTAAATTAATGTAACTCTATTTTCTTGACATAGCGAGATAAAAATGCTTGATCTTGTGATGTAAAAATATGCCTGTATTAGCATACAAAATCAATAATCATAATATTATGTTTAACATCAGTTAAACTGGCTAGAAAACTCAAGGAAAGGGATAATGAGAAAATCATTGTTTGAAAGTTGGTTTGAAAACTGGAAACAAACACTTCTATCTTGCCCAAAATACATGCATTTCATTACACACTTAGTCAAGCAAAATAGTAGATAGAGTTTATCATTAGAAACATGCATGTATAGTTTTCAATCACCAATAATGCACTTGATTAGACATGGACTAATAGAAATACAAAGTGTAATATAAACAAGATATGTTTGTAAAACATGTATGCCCCCTATCAGCAGCCAATTAGTCATGTGATAAGGTTATTATGCATGACGTCTGACCCAGTGATCAAACAATTAATAAGGGTTATAAAGTATCTACTGGTCATGACCTTGACCTTTGACCCCTTGACCCAAAACTCAATAGGGGTCATCTGCTGGTCACGACCAATCATCATACAAAGTTTGAAGTTCCTAGGCCTAGGCGTTTTTAGTAAATTGATCAGAAACCGTTTTAACCTACAAGGTCAATGTGACCTTGACCTTTGACCCCAAAAACAATAGGGGTCATCTGCTGGTCATGACCAATCAGCATGCCAAGTTTGAAGTTCTTAGGCCTAAGGGTTCTCTTATTATTGATCGGAAACCGTTTTAACATACAAGGTCAATGTGACCTTGACCTTTGACCCCAAAATAAAAGGGGTCATCTGCTGGTCATGACCAATCACCATGCCAAGTTTGAAGTTTCTAGGCCAAAGCGTTCTTTAGTTATTGACCAGAAACCGTTTTTACTTACAAGGTCATTGTGACCTTGACCTTTGACCCCTTGATCCCAAAATCAATAGGAGTAATCTGCTGGTCATGACAAATCACCATACCAAGTTTGAAGTTCCTAGGCCTAAGCGTTCTTGAGTTATTGATCAGAAACCGTTTTTACTTAAAAGGTCAATGTGACCTTGACCTTTGACCCCAAAATCAATAGGGGTCATCTGCTGGTCATGACCAATCACCATGCCAAGTTTGAAGTTTCTAGGCCGAAGCGTTCTTTAGTTATTGATCAGAAACCGTTTTTACTTACAAAGTCATTGTGACCTTGACCTTTGACCCCTTGATCCCAAAATCAATAGGAGTAATCTGCTGGTCATGACAAATCACCATACCAAGTTTGAAGTTCCTAGGCCTTAAGGTTCTTTAGTTATTGATCGGAAACCGTTTTTACCTACAAGGTCAATGTGACCTTGACCTTTGACCCCTTGACCCCAAAATCAATAGGGGTCATCTACTGATCATGACCAATCACCATACCAAGTTTAATGTTCCTAAGCCTTAAGGTTCTTTAGGTATTGATCGGAAACCGTTTTTACCTACAAGGTCAATGTGACCTTGACCTTTGACCCCTTGACCCCAAAATCAATAGGGGTCATCTACTGATCATGACCAATCACCATACCAAGTTTGAAGTTCCTAGGCCTTAAGGTTCTTTAGTTATTGATCGGAAACCGTTTTTACCTACAAGGTCAATGTGACCTTGACCTTTGACCCCAAAATCAATAGGGGTCATCTACTGGTCATGACTAATCACCATACCAAGTTTGAAGTTCCTAGGCCTTAAGGTTCTTTAGTTATTGATCGGAAACTGTTTTTGCTTTCAAGGTCAATGTGACCTTGACCTTTGACCCCTTGACTCCAAAATCAATAGGGGTCATCTACTGGTCATGACCAATCACCATACCAAGTTTGAAGTTCCTAGGCCTTAAGGTTCTTTAGTTATTGATCGGAAACCGTTTTTGCTTTCAAAGGTCAATGTGACCTTGACCTTTGACCCCTTGACCCAAAATCAATAGGGGTCATCTACTGGTCATGACCAATCACCATACCAAGTTTGAAGTTCCTAGGCCTTAAGGTTCTTTAGTTATTGATCGGAAACCGTTTTTGCTTTCAAGGTCAATGTGACCTTGACCTTTGACCCCTTGACCCCAAAATCAATAGGGGTCATCTACTGGTCATGACCAATCACCATACCAAGTTTGAAGTTCCTAGGCCTAAGGGTTCTTTAGTTATCACTCGGAAACCATTTGGTCTACGGACCGACGGACCGACGGACCGACAAGTGCAAAGCAATATACCCCCTTTTTTTCAAAATGGGGGCATAATAACTAACAGACAAAGCCATGCCCATATTATAATTATACATTGAACATTCATATATATGTCAGTTAATAAACAGAAAAATGTACACAATTATATAAATTACATTTGTAAAGAGGATTTTTATTCACTTATTGAGTTTTTGACAACATTTTCTGGTTTTCTACTCTTATTCCCTTGAATGGAATTTAATGGTAAAATTTCCACATTATTTCTATTTCTTTGAAAAATGCCATCAATAAGGACCAAACCTTTACATATGTGAAATTGCCCTCAAAATGTACTCCCTAGAATTTAGGCAGATAAATTGGAGTACTTTCAGAAATTGCATGTGCACCTACTCTGAACAATGAAATGTCAATCAATTCTTCTTGAAATAATAAAAACTTACATTTTGAACTCCATGGACCACTTTATTGGTATATTTGACAGTTTGCTCAATGAAAATGAGCATGCTAGATCTTCATAATTTCGGGATATACAAACAAGATTCTTCGGCTCCCCAGGTGCTTCTGTAATAAAATATAATCTAAACTTTTTATTTCATTTCCAAAAAAACTATAATAAAAAATTTATGAAACTAACTTCTACGACAACAATGAAAAAGTATAATAGTACTAAGTATAATTTTTACACTGGAAAAATATTTAAAAGTGTTTAGAAAACATATATAAATTATGCATATAAAGTTAGTTAAAACTTTGTGGTTATACTTTTTAGACCTCTTAAAGATTCAATGCTTACTCTGCCATTAGCTTAACTTTTATTAATTTGGCTACCTGGTTTTCTTACCTGTGTTACAATATTTTGATCAAATTTTGTATGAAATCAGTAAAACAAGCTGCATGATTTGGCTAAAAGAAATTTTCTTACAGGGATTGACATTTCAAATTTTACATATTCAGAGCCTCAATTCAGTGATGAATTAAAATAAAGATATAAATGTCACCTCCTATGTGTACTGGTTTAAATGACTCGTTCATCTGACTGTCACCATATCTACAGTTATATGTACCAGAATCTTCTACAGATACATTGTCAATCATCATTTCTATAGTATTCTCTGCTGTATGATACTTAAATAAATCAGCTGCAAGAACCTCATTACCCTATAATACAACATGTAATATTGTCCAATAAGCTAAACAAATGTATCTACAAACTTAAAATTTTGGTAGATATCTTTAACTTTTATAAAGGAACTTTTGATATGTAATTTATAGTCTTTACATACCATTTAAAAGAAAAGAATTTGATTTAAAGATAAAAGCAAACTTTAAAATGCCTTGTGTTACAAAAGGTAACTTTATGTAAGAAACAGTATACTGTTGACCTACATGTACATTAGTTTAAGTGTTTGACCTACATGTACATTAGTTTAAGTGTTTGACCTACATGTACATTAGTTTAAGTGTTTGACCTACATGTACATTAGTTTAAGTGTTGTTTTTTGTGTGTGTGTGTTTTTTTTTGGCAAATCTGAGAATTTGTCAATATCTTAAGAGGTTCAACAACAGTAATTATCATTATTATAACAAAAACAACTGTTGACAACAATAGAAGATTACAAAGTTAAGGGTTGGATATATGGAGAGGAATTTGAGACAAGTGAAGATTTCAGATTAAGAGAGGTTTTACAGTAAGGTGATTTGAGATAAAGAGGGGTTTTAAGGTGAGGAAAGTTTAGATGTGAAATAAGAAGAGTTTTGTGGTAAAGGAGATTTTGAGGTAAAAGAGAGTTTTGGTGATAAAAGATAAGTTTAATGTAAGAAGAATTTTGATATAAAGAGAGAATATGAGATGAGGAAAGGTTTAACAGCGAGAAGGGTTTAGAGATAAATATAGGTTTTAATATGAGGAGACTTCATAGATAAGGAGAGTATATAAGATGAAACGATTTTCAAGACATTTTAAGGTGAGAAGTGTTTGGGAGGTTTTCAGATAAGATTACTTTAAGAAGTTACCAACTGGGAAAAGTTTGAGAGGTTTTGATGTGAGAAGAATTTGAGAGGTCTTTAGGTGAGAACAGTTTGAAAGGTTTTCAAGTAAGAAGGATTTGAGAGGTTTTCAGGTCAAAAGAGTCTGAAAGGTTTTAAGGTATGGAAGAATTTGAGAGTTTTTTTAGATGAGATAAGATAAAAAGTTTCAAGGTGAGAAAAGTTTGTTAGGTTTCTAGGTAATAATGAGGTAAGAAGAATTTGAAGGTTTTTAGGTCAGAAGAGTCTTTTTTGGGATTGGTTTTTATGCACTAATACAGTTTATGGCAACTAAAATTCCAACTTTTCAGGTGCCCCTAAGTGCATTATATCAAGCACGAGCCGCCACTCGAGTAGAACCACCAATGTTCTGTAACCAAGCTAAATAGCTGTATACCGCCACTTGAGTAGAACCAGCAATGTTCTGTAACCTAGCTGAATTAAGCTGTATACCGCCACTTGAGTAGAACCACCAATGTTCTGTAACCAAGCTAAATAGCTGTATACCGCCACTTGAGTAGAACCACCAATGTTCTGTAACCAAGCTAAATAGCTGTATACTGCCACTTGAGTAGAACCAGCAATGTTCTGTAACCAAGCTAAATAGCTGTATACCGCCACTTGAGTAGAACCAGCAATGTTCTGTAACCAAGCTAAATAGCTGTATACTGCCACTTGAGTAGAACCAGCAATGTTCGGTAACCAAGCTAAATAGCTGTATACCGCCACTCGAGTAGAACCACCAATGTTCTGTAACCAAGCTAAATAGCTGTATACCGCCACTCGAGTAGAACCAGCAATGTTCTGTAACCAAGCTAAGTAGCTGTATACTGCCACTTGAGTAGAACCAGCAATGTTCTGTAACCTAGCTGAATAGCTGTATACCGCCACTTGAGTAGAACCACCAATGTTCTGTAACCAAGCTAAATAGCTGTATACCGCCACTTGAGTAGAATCACCAATGTTCTGTAACCAAGCTAAATAGCTGTATACCGCCACTTGAGTAGAACCACCAATGTTCTGTAACCAAGCTAAATAGCTGTATACCGCCACTTGAGTAGAACCAGCAATGTTCTGTAACCAAGCTAAATAGCTGTATACCGCCACTTGAGTAGAACCAGCAATGTTCTGTAACCTAGCTAAATAGCTGTATACCGCCACTTGAGTAGAACCAGCATTGTTCTGTAACCTAGCTGAATAGCTGTTTAAGAGGAAACAATACATGATAAAGAGTTGTGGATTGTAAATGGAAGGCTATGAAAAGAGCAGTTACTGAGAACAAATAGAGAAATGAAAGGATAGGATGGCCTAGTTTAAATTTACTTCACAGGTGTTTAAGTGGAGATTTAAAAACCTGTAGATAATATAGCAAAGGACAAATTGTCCCACCTTCAGTATTCTTGTTTTATTCAGTATAAATTCATCATTGACACAGCCAGTATCATTGTTTGGTAGCTTCAGCGAGCAATTTAGTTGTAGTTTACCACCAGCAACAAGGAAAATGTCATTACGTGGAGACATTTCAAAACCTGCAACAGTAAAATTGTCTTAATTTCAAAATTGTAAATCTTTTCTTCTAAATTTGCAAATTATGTGTATCAAATTTTAAATAGAATTATTTTGCTTTTTTATATATGCCAAGGATAAACCTATATGTCGTACATAAATAATATATAAAATAACAATTACTCTTAACTTGTAATAGTACTCGCCAATTTTTTTAAGCCAATCACCGACGAGGATTTTTCAAATTTTCAGGTTTCAAATCTTAATAGAACAGATTTTATATAAACTGGACGTTTTATATTATAAAACGCAAGTGGGCGGAGCTAAGTTTCGAAGAGCGCTTAAAGTGAAATATACGCATGGCAGAGATCTTGAAGTTTACTCCTACTAATTAATATTTATGCATCATGTTTTTTCCGTACACGCACATGTATATCGTCACTACGGCATATAATTAAAAAAAGAGGTTCATTGAAATGAAAACAGGCAAAATAACAGTAAAAATGTTTTATTACTTACAGAACCAGTATCATTTTATAATTTCCAAATAAAAAGTTCACTTATTCCAACAAAGTATGTATGTAATATTTCTTAGTTTTTATGTAAATATTACAGCCCGTGCCGCTGCAAAACCGAAAGTAGGGTGTTTTTATTAATTTTACATTTATTTTTGACAATATACTGCCATTTGTCCGAAGATGATATGTATATGAACATAATTAATATGTAATATGCATATATAATGAAGCTACAGGTTCATTTCAGCCCGAAAAATATGTCGAGGTGACGGGTGAGGCAAGACATGTCGACTTTTTGTAGCTTATTGTGAAGTTGCAGTACATGAAAATCGGGCACATGACAAATCAGCACATAAATAAAACATTCTAGTGTTCCGTGGTATACATCTTTTCTACGTGTCATACCTCCTTTCCTTATTACAATGAATTTTTACTGCATTGTTATCCATCGCTGGTTTGTTTTTAGCAGAGAATGACCTGTGTATGTTCAAAGAGGGTACCGTTTGAGAATATTTCGCAAAGAGGGTACCGATATGGATATGCACCGTGATATTGTCTGATTTACCTAGACAGAATGCGGGAATAAGCTATGCAAAACACGTGACCCGAAAATGTGTACCGCTACCTCTTCCAAATATGGTTATTTACACATTTAGGCTATCAAGCTCCGCTCCTTTTGAGCTTTCTTATTTACGAAGAACACCCAATATGCACTATAACCTATACATAAAACCAGGTTAGATATAGGTTTCATCTTGTGGATTTCTGTAATGCATTTTGTCCTGCTCTGAATTTGAAACAGTCTATTCAAAGTTAAAGGAATTTCAATACCAAAATAGAAAGATAAAGTTACCAACTTTATAGAGCTTGGTCAGACTTTATAATATTGTAGAGACTAGCTTTTCTCTATACTGGTAGCAAAGGTTAATCACTTCCAGTTTCAGCAGGTTAATTATGACAATTTTAAAATAAAATTCTCCAACATTTACACACTGCTATGTCTATAAATGGGACAAACCAGGAGTGCATTTACCTTAAGCAGACTTTTAGCAAAGCTGAAACAATACTGCAAAGCCCTCATTACATAGGTATATAATATACTTGAGTTACTAAAGTAGCATTTAATTATTTGTAACATAGCAAAGTTATTAAAAACACACTTACACCTTCCTGCAGAGGCCACTGTTCCAATCATACTTAGTGCCAGCAGGAGCATGCAGAGCTTCCTCATAAAATTAACCAAAGATGCCATCATAGTTCATGTAACAATCTTTCAAATCAAATCTTCATCTTCTGCAACATAAAATGAAATTAACTGATAATAGTTGTCAAAGTAAATAAAATGAACAAATTTACAATTATTGTGAATCAATATTGTTTTGATTAAATAATACTCAATTTCAATAGCAAATTTTAAATAACATATGATATCATGAATTCTTTAAGGTTTCACAGAGCTATTACCTAAGAACCATGAATTCTTCAAGGTTTCAAAGAGCTATTACATAAGATATCATTAATTTTTCAAGGTTTCACATAGCTATTACCTTTGATATCATGAATTTTTCAAGGTTTCACAGAGCTATTACCTAAGATATTATGAATTCTTCAAGGTTTCAAAGAACTATTACCTAAGATATCATGAATTCTTCAAGGTTTCAAAGAGCTATTACCTAAGAACCATGAATTCTTCAAGGTTTCAAAGAGCTATTACCTAAGATATCATGAATTCTTCAAGGTTTCACAGAGCTATTACCTAAGATATCATGAATTCTTCAAGGTTTCACAGAGCTATTAGCTAAGATATCATGAATTCTTCAAGGTTTCACAGAGCTATTACCTAAGATATTATGAATTCTTCAAGGTTTCACAGAGCTATTACCTAAGATATTATGAATTCTTCAAGGTTTCAAAGAACTATTACCTAAGATACAGTGGAACCTGTCTAATCCGAACTCGTCCGGACCAGAAGAAAAGTTCGGATTAGACAGGTTTCCGGATTAGACAGGTTTCCGAATTAAAAGGTTCTTTTACATGTTTTTTCATGTTACATGTATTTGCAAACAGTTTAGGGAAAGAAAACGGGAATGCATTTGAAATTGCAATTTAGATATTTTATTTTTGCAGTCTCTTATCGTTCATTCTAATACATGTGAATGAAATGAAAATAAATAAATAAGCAAAGAAATATTATGTCCACGAGGGTAAGTTAACGTACGATGTAAAACAGGAGGCGGAGACATAATTAAATATTCGTACCAGCATTTGTCAATTGTTGTTTACTCTTATCCGATTCGGGATACCAAATTTCCTGCAGTTTCTTTTAATTTTCTTTGTTTAATCACGAACTTTTGAACCCATAAAAAGGGGATTAAAAATATTTTTTTTGCTTTTAAATCAAAAATATTATTGAAGGGACGAAAAAATAAAATTAAGGGGAAATTTAAAAATATAAGGCAAGCTAATGAATTTTTCAACCTTCCAATCATACTTTCACCCTTTAATCAAGTAAATAACACATTTTTTGGTGTATTTTCCCCTCAAGATTCGATATTTTTTTATTTTTAATAAGGGTTCACATTTGGGCAAAATCTTTCGGTTTCCGAGGTAAATTTAAGGTAAATAAAAAAAAAATTGAAAAATTTGCAGGAATTGGGGTAGCCCGGGTTGGGTCAAAAGGGTTTTTTACTTTTTGAATATAAACGAATAAAATCGGACAACATTTCTTTCGGATAAGAAAGGTTTCCGTTTAGAAGGGCGGATTAGCGGGGCTCCACTGTATCATGAATTTTTTAAAGGGTTTAAAGAGCTTTTAACCAAAGAACCAAATTTTAAAGGGTTTCAAAGACCCCCTGCCACAAATAGAGCAAAATTTCAAGTATATTATAATAATTGAACCTAGGGTAAATATAAAGAAGCTTGGTTGCATCCCCCTTCAAAGTCTTCACTATACATAAATGCTAATGGCCAAAAATGGGTAAAGCCCCTTTTAAAAGGGCTTTCAAAATTTGCAATTGGGCTTCAACCGACTTTTTTAAAGTATTTTGGAGTACCCCTTTGAGAATACTTTTGAACTTACATTTTGGGGCATTCATGAAATTTACACAACTTAAACCCCATAAAAAATACGAGAAGTCCATTAAAAGCTACCTGAATTCCTTTTTGAAGCAAATGAAAATTTTGATAAAGTACAAATTAATCCCGGGAAAAATACTTTTGAAGCCCAGAAAAAAACTTAAAACCCAAAACATTATCTTTTTTAGTTTTCCTTTTGAATTTTTTAAATTAAGGGGATTAATTACAATTTAAGGTTACAACACGGGGAAATCAAAAAATCTCCCCTGAGAAATTTTTTTGTTCGGTGACATTAAGTATCAACTTTCAACTGATAAAAAATAATAATTCTTTAAAATTTTACATAAAAAAATTTTTTTCATTTTTACTCACATTTAACAAAAGGGTTTCCAGCAAAAAGATAAACTATAAACATTTATAGCGTAACATCTTTTAAAATTTTCAATTTATCAATCATGCCCTTCATTTTCATTTTTTTTCCCAAAAACAGTTTCATGGCAAATGGGTTTTGATTTTATATGATGGAAACCCTTCTGCATCCTGTAAAAAAAAATTTTAAAAATGATTTTTTTTTATTTTAAAAAATGCACATATGTTCTTGATTTGGGTAATCATGCAGCCTTTTAAAAAACATAAACATTAATACAAAATATCTGCAAAAAAAGTTTGGCAAATGAATTAAAATTAAATTTTTCAAAACTTAAGCAAGCACAAAAATTGCCCCGGAAAATCAACACAGTGTATTTTTGTTACTTTTGGGGTCATAATCATCTTTAGGACATATAAATGTCTTTTTGTAGCCCAGTCAAATAATGAGGTGGCAAATGCTTAATTATTCACTTTACTTAATGGTTAAACAATTTCATTCTTTGATATAACTACATCAAATTCCCTTAAAAATGCCTGGGTTTCAAATTTTTGTATCACAATTCTCACCAGTGAAAGGTTTTAGGTTGCATAAAGCAATAGACATTAAACATGAAAAATCCAACTAAGTATCTTATTATTTGTAAGTAAAATCTAAATTTATTCAAAGTCATAATAAGCCTGTTTGTAATAAAGCAAACTAATTACCAAGTAAGTTTCTGTATTCTTTTGTTATCTTTTTTCTTTCAATTTTCAAGACTTCTTCACTGACATTTTTGGAGAAGTTTTGGTCTAGAAAATAGAATATTAGCACATTTAATATAATTATTATAAACAATATACATGCATAAAGGTTTATTTTTTATTAAATGGGTTTTAGGTCGTCATATGTTCTTTTTTTATGGAAAGCATTTTAGGGATATAAAATATTACAAAAAGGAAAAGGACAAATTTTTTAAAATATCTGCTAATACATTGTATCATGCAATACAAGACTATAAAAATAAATATTTGAAATCTGATCTTGTCATTTTGAGTTATAAACTTGATATTTTTTAAGGATAAACCAAATCTAAAAAAAGTTATTTGCATTAGTTGATTTTATTGTTTATTGAATTTGAAAATATTAAATATAGTTCAAAATTACTTACCATAAATGTATTCCATAGAATTTGGTTATCAATTTTGCCCCCATTTTTAACTGCTAAAACTTTAACTACACATTTGATGTCCCATAATAATACATGGTTTTAATTTAGGTTTCCGAAAATTGGTTGTAAACCTGTATTAGTTGGGGAATAATTCAACTCAATAACAATAATCAATTTAACTTTATACTAGCTCATGCACTCATAATAACATATCTTTTAAAACTTGTAAGCAGATCCAGACATTCAAGACACTTCTGTAATAAATTGCCAGGATGAAGATTTGTTCTGGGTATTAGGTTACATGTAGCTAGTAGTAATTGTAAACTTGCTTTATCACTCACTATTCTCATGTATCAGATAGGTCAGCTTAACATGGGGTATTTTGAAGAACTGTTGGAAGGGGTCATAATTTTCCACTTGAGGATCACAGATGTTTGTGATTAAGAATATTTGGTTGTAGAAGAAAACCGTGGTAGATTTACAGAAGGGGTGACAGAATAATTGGCAGACATGTAATTTTAAGTATTTGAGCATCTTTTAACTAGTTAATATTCATGAAGAAAAATTTTTTTTTTTAATTCTTCTTTTTTTATGTTAAGCTAGATACTGATGAATAACCTGTTAATTACAATATATTTAGATGATTCATGTGCAATAATAATTTTTAGAAAGTATTTTTTAAATGTCAAAACTGGCTCCCTAAAATTGGTATAATTGACTTCATAATGAATCATATATTTTTAAAGGAATTTAATAAATATTTTTTCACCACCATGATCTGTAGAATGTTAAATCCTTATTCAAACTAAAATAATTGATTTTACACTTATTTACAGTTTTTTTTTATACATGCATTTTCAATTGACTTTATGAATTAATTTCAAGCTGATAATCATATCAAGAGAACTACAAAAATACAAGTTTTTAAAAGAATTTTTGAAGCCCCCCTCAAAACAAGTCCTACATTGCTAAGTTTTCAAAAGCATACAACTTAAGTATACATTTTGTATCAAAATAACTTTTCAAACAAACAGTCAAAGTCTGAGAAGTAAAGCAAATAAGTCTCTAGTACAAAAAACTATCCAAAATGAAGCACTTAAAAGCCCTGGTACTTCACCTGAAGTACACATTCACAAATTTCAGAAGCTCATTAGAAGCTGGAAATGGGGCTTCAGATGAAGTACAAGCTGCGTTGAAGCAAGTAACTTGAGTCCCTAGTACTTCAGCTGAAGCACCAGGTGCTAGTTATAAAAAGTTTACTTTTAAAGTCCAGAAAAAGCTTTATTAAAAGTGGGGACTCTGGTGAAGTGGGGGGCCTGCTTTTGTGGCTGGGCTTACTAGCCCAGGTTAAAAATTTACATATTTCCCTTTTCTTTTTTTAAAAACCCATGTCCCCTTTTTTGTCATCCAATGAAAACACCAATAATTTTTAAAAATTCGGTTTAATTTTTATAAAGAAATGACTATATCAAACCCCTTAAATCCTTTCTATAAATTTTTTTTTACCCAAGTGCTTTTTTTTGAACATTTTTTAAAAAATTGTAATTATCAAGGGAAAATTTTAAAAACCAAAAAACTTTACACTAAAGCGTTTTTTCAAAATAAGAAACATCACCCATTGCTATCCCCCCTCAATTCAAACCGTAGAAAACAGGAAACAAAAACAAAACAAATGTTAAAAAAATTTTTAAAAAAATTCTCTCATTCATTTTTTTGATTTTAAATTTTAACCATAACAACACTGAAAATGACATTTTCTTAAAACAATTTCCCCTAAAACATCATTTAAAAAATTTTTCATGTAAATTCAAGTAAGTCCACAAAAAATAATACAATACACTATAAAGAGTATCAGGTACACAACTGTGTACACATAAAATATATTATTTTAAGAGCAACTTCCTGATACAAAAATTATCCACCTTAAACAAGCCTATCAAATTTCAAAATAACTGCCACATCTTGAGTTTCACATCCTCTATACAACCCCCCTGCCATAACCACAAGATTTTAAATTGTAATTATTTAATTAGTTTCTGTCATAATTATGGTCATAGTGAGCACAAAGATTTTATAGGAAAATAATGCATTAAGAAGCATGAATTATTTAAGTTGTTTACCATTATCATATAAAATCTCCATCTTCTGTGAATGTTATAATACAAGTAATGAACATGATATTGGCGGCACAATCATGACTGTTTGAAAATGTTATCACAAACAGTATACAAACTTTCAACATATCTTGAATCCTCAATAATCTGTACTTTCATAGACAACGCTGGATTGTTGTAAAAATTGATACACTGATAAGACATACATAGTAAACTTTGCTGGTCTGTCAAACTTTCTGACTGACCTTTTATCATTCCTGTTGAATTTATGTTACTATCAGTGTAGAGTCATCAAATGTGCCAACAAAGATTTTAAAGAGTAAATTTATTCTACAGATATGTTCCAGATTTATGGTTAAATATAGATGCTCTGGGGTGGGGGCTTATCCCATTATCAAGAGCAAAAGCTAAATATATTCGACATCTTGTATATAATGATCCACAAAAACAGACAAAACATAATATATAATATAGCAGTCTTATTATATACTACTCAAAATGTGTTCACTCTGATGCCTGTGAAGGCTTGCCAATAAGAAGTGGAGGACATATATCTAAACCGCTTTTGTGTTATGATGCATGCAATAGAATAACTGATTTGTGAACCTCAAAAATCAAAATTTTGATGGCATGTTTAGTCTCATTATTTCGACTGCAAGACCAACCCATTTTACAAACTGTGTCGTTCTCATGTACATCACATGCACAAGATCAACATGCTGTTGTTCAGGCCTGGTGCAATCATTTCCAGAACGCTTCTTTGTTAAGAAATAGCTTGCAGAACCTAGAAATGTATATGTGAATAAGGAATGGATTGGATGATTGTCAGGTATGAATGCCAGACATTCTGCCATTTATGTCACATCATGTCACTTCAGAGAATACCTTCATGGGGCCTGTGACCATGTGCAATGGAGTCCTGCAAAATGTACCCATTTTGTTTACTGGAGTCTAGATTTTGCCTAGATTTTATTGATCTTGCATCTCAGACCACGATCAATATGGCTAATTGTCTATCATTGTATGATACATGGTATGGTGAGGAATAAGTGTCAATGGCAAAACTGACATCTATATTTTAATATCATGACCTTGAAAGCAGAGCTGTATTGTAGTGAGATTATTGGTGGACATGTACCACCATATGCAGGTGCAGTGGACCGACGGACCAGATTTTATTCTAATGCTGCGACAAATATCGCCCACACATTGCCTGCCTCACGACCCAAAGCCTTGCATGCGAAATAATTGAGCTCTTGCCTAAGTGGCCTGCCAGATTCACTGATTTTCTGCTAGGATTCTTTGAACATAGAAATATATCTCTCCGCATTACAAGTATAACAGACAAATATTGTTTCAATAATTAGCTTGAAGAGGCTCGTACATATTAATAAGTAATGTGTAAAAGTTGTCCGTAACCCAAAGGTTTCCATCGGAGTAATATCGAAACATTCTAATTCAGTTGTATATATTTCATTTTCAAACTAAATATACATGTCTGTACAGAATTCTGTAAGTCTAATATTTTGAGGAATACAATGTAGTCTATATCATGGATGCTACAGATACATAAATGTATTTCCTCTCACCAAAATGGTGATGGGCTTTTTGTGGGCAGCCTGTATTCTGACTCTGTTGACAAAATTTATATTCAATGACTTCTGTTAATGTTAGTTTCAACATAGTTTTAACACATAGCTTACATACCTGTATATCACAGTTATAAATTAACTCTTTGAAACAATTATTGACTTTGGCATGTAATTCACAAAGAAACATTATGAATTTAATATTCTAAAAGCTTGATTATTGTTGTTTATTGTTGTTTGCACATTTGAATGACTTTACATGTATCTGTAATGGTATAAAAATATATTTTTCTAATCAAAATGACATTGTTTATTTTGAATTTCATTCTTTCCATAGGTCGCCAAAATGAATTCATCTGTCAAAGCAAAACTGTTTTTGTTTAAAATAGTGCCTTCAAGAAGAATTGTTAGACAATTTCATTTTTCTATTGAAGGACACAGTAAGCATTTAACAAAACCTTAGGCCATATTTATGTTCACTGAGTCATTGACCATTATCAGTTGAATACTGCAATACTGTTACAATAACCCTTTAAATTATCTCATGTATGTTTACAATGTAATTAAGTTTATTCAGTTGCTATAGAAATGACCCTTTGAAATACCAGTGCATTTAGTTACTGAGACATTTGGAAACTTTTGTCAATCAAATACCAAGGTCTGTAAATATTGATTTAGAATGAGGCCAAGAGTGTGGCTGCACTGAAAACATTGAGAAATTGACAATAGAAATTAAAAAGATCAAAATATTAGGATCAAATCTAGGATCAGATATGTCTTAAGATACATGTACATTTGTATGTCTATATTTGAATCAACTTTCAAACATGCACATCTTGTAAAGTACTAATATTTGTTCTAAAATGCATAAAGCTACATATCTGTTATACATTAAGTCTCTGTAAAATGTACTTATGTCCTGTGGTGCTCACTGACCTTGGTACGAGATAGGTCGAGTACGTGAGTATATGTTTCATAACCTTGATTGGCTGTAACCCCTGATGGCAAAGGGCCCATTGGGATTCTGGGGGATTCCTCTAGAAGCAGCCATTGGTGCTGCAGGCAACATTGACTAGGTGAAACTAATCCGTTCATTAGACAGGCATATAAGTCCATCCAGACCTGGTACACAGACATCTAGATAGGTAAATCATTTACTTAAAATGTCATGGTTCTACAGTCCTTTAAAGTCCACTTTTAAGTTGATATTAAAAATAAAATCTGTGAAAATTCAATCGGGCAAAGAAAATGCTGAGATATTTTCCCCAAGGGAAGAGCACATAATTCCCTACCCGTGTAAACAAAGCCCCAGGTGTGATTCCCCTCACACAATGATAATCTCTCCCTAGTTTTTCACTTCCAGTACCATAACATTTTAATTTTTAAACATATACTTATGTAGTTATGAATGTAAAACATATAATAACAAAGGCACTTATTAATATCTGTATGGTATAATTGAATAATTGTTGTGTTTTTTTTTTCATCTTACTTTGACCCTCTGAAACATTAAGTACTCAATCTATAACCGAACAATAAACCTCTGTGTGTTAACTTGTTAACAATGACTTATAAATAATATTATACATGTATTGTTTATGTAACACATATCATAGCTATTCTTGACTTATAGTTGCACTTCAATTTTTTAATATAATATTACAGGAAAAGAAAGTAGACCACTTTGGGAACAATTCAGAACTGAAGTACTTTAATACTAATGTTGTAAGTATTCAGTTTATTATGTACTCCAAGTGAGTGCTCCTCACAAAAATTGCTAACCTTTTTTTGCTAATCAATAAATTTATTAACTAATAAATCATCCATTGGGCATAAATTTTCTAACATTAATGGCAGAAATGCTGTTTATTGTTTTACATTAAAGAACAAGGTCATGCAAGGGAATTCTAAATCTATAAACATGTGCATCACTGAAGTGGGGCAACATTATAATTAGGGTCAAGGGTTGGGTGTTTGTATGCATTTTATTCCCCAGATCAAAGCAAAATCAAAGGGCTGCAAGCTCTGTGGTATTTTCTGATCTTTGCAATCTAAATAGTACTGTATATCTGTATGTATTTTCCTGTATTAGTTTATTTTTATGTACTATAATTCATCTTGCAAGGCACCAGAGTTTGATGCATACGGAATTTTGCATAACTACAGTAGAGTTGCATCAAAAAATCATTCTTTTATTACCCTTCATGATGGGGCTTTTTCATAACAGCATAATTATATAAGTGAAACACTCACATAAAAATGAAAAAAAAAAAAAAAAAAAAAAGTTGCCTCGACTGGGATTTGAACTCCAGACCTCTCACACACTAGACGAGCACGTAACCCCTGCACCACGGAGAAGTTATATAAACGATGCCTGAATAAAATCTAGTCATTCTAAATTTAGAACTTCCATTGTATAATCCTTAATAATTTCGAGGTATTTTGTTCAGGATAAACCTGTTGTTTAAAATTGAAGTAAATAATTTAGCGAAAATCTTCTCGCCGAAACAGTCCGACATGTAGAATCTATATATTCCACTACTCAGCAGTCAGATTTATTTGTGTAGTATTCGGTAATCCACATCGCTAAAAATAGCATTTTCATTGATTAAAATCAAATTCATCCGCGTTATTTGTGATTGTGAATTTATTGACAATTCTATAAGACAACGCTACTTTTAAATTTTGAATGCGTTGTAATTTGTTGGATACTTGAATACTTGTATCAAAATAAAAATATTTCCTTTTTTAAATCGCTAGTTTTAAGCTGTTTTGAGAACTTCTTATTGTTAGGTTTGTCGTGAAATTCTGTGTCAGAGATTGAATATCAGCTTTGTATTTACTGACCTTCGGTCAGAAAATACAACAATATACTACATTAAATTCACCACCACCTTTCATTCCTGAGCAAGCTGTCTTCACTTTTGCAAGGAATGGTTATAAGTTTAATACTTCTGTACATTCCAGAGCAGATGATCAGTGCGAATGACCACATTAAGAAAGGAATTTATGACTGATCACAATTAAAGTGATCTGCACAGTCCTGTCCACCCGAGTCACAGTCCAACAGTCTACCAATTGAGCTAACCAGGTGGTACCTGTTAAGCTGTATGCCTCCAGATGAACCTAACTATTTCAAGAAAATCAATCTTGAGAAAAATGTACTGAGCTTTTAAGAAAAGGAAGAAGATTCATTAGAAAAGTAACAATTTCCATGTTATGTGCAATTTTGCAGTATTTTTCACCATATTTCTACTGTATTAGTCATTATTAAATCAGTAAAGTGCTATTTTTGCATATTTTGACCTCTCTTTGGTCATTTAATTGGTTGTAAGTGCCATTTTCAATGTGTAAATTATTTTCTTCCTTCCAAAATTTTCACAAAAATTAGCAAGAATTTGGAGGCGTGTTGCTTTAAGGTCAAGTGGGTGTATTTGTAGTTTATCCTCAAGATAACAGCAGCAAGCCACACTGAATTCACCAGAGCACAGTTTACCCACTACACGGTACACCAGTAGTAGATGCCTTCACATTCCTAAGGATGTGCTATTTAATTCTGTACATGTCAGAGCATTGAAAAGATCAATCACAACAAATGTTCCCAGCACTGGCGGGGAATTGAACCCTGCAATTGAGCTAACCAGAAAGCACAAATCAAGGTCAAGGTG